ATTTTTTATCCGTTATTACGGTAAATCATTTAGTAGCTTATGCACTTATTGCTATCCAAACAAGCGTGACAACCGAACGGTGGGACGACCACATAGGCAGACGCAAATTATACTTCTAGAAAATACATGTAGGCTATATTATTTACATTGCTTGCAATGTTCTAAAATACAGATATGTATCTCTTTACAGGAAGAACCACGATTTGGAACTACCCCTCTAGCTATGCTGGCTGCTACTTGTAACAAAATTGGCAATACCAGTCCCCTTACCACTCTACCTGATTCCAGTGCTTTTTCAAAAGGCGGTTTTCATCCTTGGAAAAGAACCTCCTCTAGTTGCAACTTGGGATCCAGTCTCCCTGGATTCACTGTAGCAACAAGCCGCGGATCGACCGGATTTACATCAACTACTGGCACAGGCAACAGCGCGTTTTGCTTAGCCTCCACCTCCCCAACCTCCTCTGCGTTTTCCACAGAGTACAGCAGTCTGTTTTCCAACTCAGCGAGCATTTCGTCCCAAGAGTCTGGGCAATCCGCCTTCATCTCCAAAGTCCACACATCAGCAGAAACCCTGTATCCGAGGGTAGGGATGGCACATCCGTATGAGTCGTGGTACAAGTCTGGTTTCCATTCAACCATCTCGGGCGATGTTACGAACGGGGCGTCCGCGTGGTGGGACGTTCATACCAACCCTGGCTCATGGCTCGAGGTCCAGAACCCTGCAAGCTCGCTGCAGACCTCCCTGCATTCCGGGACCCCCCAAGCCATACACTCTCAGCTCAGTGGCTATAACCCTGACTTCTCTACTTTGACACACTCGGCATTCAGCTCAACCGGTATAAGTCCCACGGCATCTCATCTTCTATCAACTAGCCAACACCTGTTAACACAAGACGGATTCAAAACAGTCATTCCATCATACACGGACGCCTCTGCCGCCAACGCTATGATTGCAGGTTCCAGTTCTGGTTCCTCAAGGTCATCCAGGAGGTACTCCGGCAGAGCCACATGCGACTGTCCGAACTGTCAGGAGGCTGAGCGGCTGGGGCCTGCAGGGGCCAGCCTCCGGAGGAAAGGACTTCACAGTTGTCACATTCCTGGCTGCGGTAAGGTGTATGGCAAAACCTCTCACCTTAAAGCTCATTTGAGATGGCATACTGGCGAGCGGCCCTTTGTCTGCAATTGGCTATTTTGTGGCAAAAGGTTTACAAGATCAGATGAACTTCAGAGACACCTCCGTACCCACACTGGTGAGAAAAGGTTTGCTTGCCCAGTATGCAACAAGCGCTTTATGAGGAGTGACCATTTGAGCAAGCACATTAAAACCCACACTGCCGGTGGCGGAGAAGGCAAAAAAGGAAGCGACAGTGACACCGACACCAGTAACCTGGAGACCCCCAGGTCCGAGTCCCCAGAACTCATTTTAGACGGGGTAAACCCCAGAATCACGATCAAGGACCCATCTCCTCATGACGAGCCCTGAAGGCTGTTATTTGAATGACTTCGAAACCAACTTTATAAAGCAAATGACCAGTAGGCTATCAAAACTGGCACATGTAATAAAAACGGGTCTGGGTTTGAGAGACAGTATTGGAGGAAAAAAATATTTTACGCAAAGCATTTGAAAACTAAAAATAATTAGATCTTACCACCATATTGATTGAATGTTCAACTCATTATTAACCATCAAACGAAAAGCAGAATTATTCTATAGGCTATAATATGAAAATGACTATAAAGCTGTCAACTTAAAAATTAACTAGAGGACTTTTTAAACGGATCAGTGCGTAAAAGGGGTGAGCTAACCCAAAAGAACTTGGTTGGCCCATGTGAGTCGCCATCATCTTGTACATATTGGCAACAAACAGTGTGTTATTTTCATGTAACTGTTAATTATGATTGTTTTACTCGTGTTTGGGATCCTGAAATTCAGGGAGTTTACTTTAAACGCACTTTGTGGATATGTATGTACACAGCTTTTTAAATTCAGTTAACAATTTCATTTCTTTGCTAAAAATATATAAATGTTTACTTGTATAAAATCACACGTATTAGCCTTTCATTTTCTCATAATTAAAATGATGTAAAATCTGAGGCAGTAGTCATGTGATGGGAATGTTTTACTATCTTGTGTCTCATATTTGTTTTCATTATCCGAAATGAAAATGAATGATGAAAAAAGGTAATCGATTTGATGGGATAAATCGTAGATAAATACGATTGCCAAACGTAAAATGTAGATAAGCAAGAGTGTTCATTACATAAAATCAATCATACATTGCTGATATAGGCAATCGCACATTGACATGCATTCTCTCTGAGGAATAAATCAATAGCCCTAGTAAATGGCCGGAAAATACATTTCATGCCCAAATGAAAATCTTGTTAAATGGTATTAATTATGACTTGGAGCACATCGCAGCCCCCATGTGTCTTGTATTTGCGATTAGGGATTCGTGTCTTATCAAATATCTAATTAATCGCCGAGACATCATTTGTTCAGCTTTACTTTATCTGGGGGCTTCCGAGGGGGTTTTGATGACAAAGGCTCCCTGAATATTTATTTTAATTGTCCAAATTAACTGCTTTAATTTGCATGTCAAACGGAAAGATGGCAGTCTAATAATAAGGATAAAGCCTCTCTAAGCTTTCCTAGAAACTATACACTTGATTTGATGTTATGGGAACTGTTTCTAAACTTTTCAAAAAAAAAAGAAGTGGTAAAAAGCCATATGCAAATGATACATTTGAAATGCTCTTGTCGCGGTGCAGTCAAATGGTTCCTGCATGTTATTTGAATATCAGTGGCCCCGTACTGAAAGGGTTCAAGGATGCTCTCTGACTTCTTTGTGCTTACCCAGTGCAGCGTCCGATCTCAAAGAAAAACCCAGGGAATAATTACAGCGTGAGCCCAGGCCTGGGAATACATTAGGGAGAGGCATCTCATCTAGACAACCTCTTCCTGAAGAGGAAGTTAAATTGACCAGAAGGCAATAGAGGAAAATTATTTTCATTTCCTTTTGTGTTGGCTGGGTTTAAGGGAGAGATCAGGAAAATAACGACGAAAAATAACATTTATATTTTCTATAATGACCACAAAATTCGAGTTCAAGAATAAACAACTAAAATTGAAGACTAAAAAGCCTAAAAAACAAACAAAGGCATATATCATATATTTAGCATTTAATATCAATGTGACCTTTTAAATATGCAGGCATGATTTAAAATAAAATAGGCCTATTCAAAATTAGGCTACTATAATATAGACCAACATAAAAAATTAATCAATGTAACCTGCAGTTGCAAGTGTGCTTATTTTTTATAAATTAGCTGTTTATTTGCATTGACTTTCTGATGTAATTTTTTCTTCTGGAAAATGTTGTTTCTCATTTTTTTTAATGGGTTATTTGGCCGCTTATGTTTATTGGTAGGCCTACATTACACGGTTTTCATGAGGGCAAATAGGTTATTTTCATTAAACACTTTAGTGAATTTTAATTTCCTCCATTTCCATAAAGACGGAAATTATAAGTATTTTGCTGTAAATCATTAACATAGTTTGCAATTATATGGCCACAAAAGGTGGTTAAAATCAAAACGTTAAGTACGTCCAAATGCTTTTGGGAGAGAGACGGCTGGGGTTGCGGACAGTAAGTGCTGTCAGTTATCGCTTTGTTGCTTTCCCTGGAATGCCCTCTCACTGAGCATTAGGCAGAAGTCATCTTTGTTTTCAAGCCACAATAAAAAGAGAGCTCAAAGAAGAGAATCAGTGCGACGTTACGGGACACATCTCGCTGCTAAAGGGCTCGCGCCATTCTCCTCTTGTCCCCAGGGTAAAAAAAATGTCCATAATTTCACAATGGAAGGTCGCAAAAAATATTTGGTGCACACCTCCCGGCATCATTGCAAACAGTTAAATTGACTACACAGAATATACAAATATGAAGCGACTGAAATAAAACGTGCAAGCAATTCTCGACTTTCCTGATCAGGAATTCTTATCAAAGCATATCATATCGACATTAGTTATCCATCTAAGCTAATTGTTATGGCTTTTCCAAAAATATATAGCTCCAAAACACTGAACCCCAATGACCTCATGGTTTCTTCTGTTTTGTCCATCACGATGATCATGTCATGCAGGTAGCTTACAAGTAATATCTAAAGGCCAATAGGCATGCAGTGTTGCGTAAATCATGCATTGAGTTTTGCACTAAGAGTAAAGTTACACGCATTGACTTGAATTCAGAATTGGGTCTTCAGTGTTAAATATTTGAAACAAACTTGAGGTCTACAGACTAATCACTTATGCAGGCCTACTCATATGGATCGCATAGGCTACTGAACACTTAGAGATTGAGTGTCATTAGTCAACCATGCTCCTGTTCAGGGCACTTGTTGCAAAAGACCATTGTGAAACATAATTAGGCTAGACTAGTAACAAGTGTAATGAAACACGGTTACAAGCATGTGAGAACAGAACAGCTTCCCACTGGGCACAGACATCATTTCAACATCTAGTTTTGATTTACATTTGGTTGAGTTGTCAACTAACATGATATCAACAAAAAACAATTCACCATGTCATTGGATTTAGGTTAAAAGCTGGGTGAAAAAAATACGAAATTCCATTACTTTGACGACTTTTTGCAAATCCAATCAGTTTTCCACGTTTTCCAAAAATGACGTGAAAACAACGTTAATTCAACAAAAAATGTTGCCCAGTGGGTTACTACACTTTCACCAAACCGAAGTAAAAAATATATATTTTCGAGGTGCTATAATATTTTTTACAGTATTCTGAAGAGGGTTATCGGGGACTAAAATGACAACCACGAAGTGCATGCAAGACATGCATTTGTTTATGCATCTGTGGTTCAAGTTATTTTAGGTCTACTGCTGCCCTCTAGCGGAGGAAAATAACTGTATTTGAGGGTCTGCGCTCTCTTTATGCTGTAGCAGCCAAATAGCAGGTAACATCAAAACATGACCAATACTGTGCAGGCTAATAAAACGTTGGTTTCTAAGTGTTGTTTAATGTTTAATAAAGTGAGCACACTTTAAGAAAAAAATGACATTAACAGCAGCATCATAAAACCTTGAAAACATTTCACGTTCGTGTCGAAAAATATTCACTTTGTTTAGGCCAGCAAAATAAAAAGGTAGGCTATCACTGGCCCACTTTGTAAGATTGTCTACTCTCACAGCTCAGCTCTTTTTCTCAGCTCTATCTCTGCTTCTGGCTCTTTTCTGCCTCCCTCTGCCTGTACTCCTGCTTCTACTCCCTTCGCCTCCCCTCTCTCTCCCCCGATCTCGGCTCCTACTCCTCTCCTTTGCTACTTTATCCCTCGCTCCATCTCTGCTCCTGCTTCTATTCCTCGCTCTTCTACTTTTCCCCTCATCCCTACTGTGAACCTTGTCTTTACCTCTGTCCCTGTCTCTCTCACAGTTCCTGATTCTGTCTGTGCCAGGCTGGGAGCTGCTGCTGGTTCTCTGCCTCTCACTGCTGGTGTGTCTGCGTCTCTCCTGACGTTCTTCCATCCTCATCTTTCTCTCTGGACTGTACTTTCTGCCCTCGCTCCTGCCTGGCTCAGCCCTTGTTTGTTTCTCCTCTCTGGTATCGTCTTTGTGCAGTTTCTGTCTGGAGGTTGGGCTCCGTGACCTGCTCCTGTGAGAGGAGGCCTTGGTCTTACTGTTGACTAGTCCCTCACTCTTCGTGTTATCACGACAGGAGTCCTTTCTCTTCTTCTGGCTCTTAGAGTTGCTGTCAGAGTCTGAGTCACTGCTAGTTTCACTGGAGCTGTCACTACTATCATGCTTCTTCTTCTTCTGCTTTCCTTTACTCTTCTTCTTCTTCTTCTGCTTTTTGCCCTTCTTGTCATTCTTCTTCTCCTTCTTTTCTAGACGATCCAGTTTCCTTTAAAAAGAAAGACAATTTATGTTAGTAGATCACGTTTACTTTTATTTTTCAATGAATCATCCTTTGTCTTATTTTACAATAAGCATATTTACATTCAAAACAACTACATTTATGAATGAGTGTTCTACCTGAGGAGCTTCTCTTTCTGTTTAGTAGTCAATGACTTCAGGAATTCAACCTCAGGATCCTCCTCTTCTTCACTGGCGACATACTCCTACAGTATTACAACAATGCACAATAAATCAAACAATTAAAATAAAAAAGCATACATCAAATACTAACTAAATGTGCATACAATTTAATGTAGAAGAGACATCACAAATGGTTAGAGGAAGCAAGTAACACATTAATAGAATCAGCGTGATTGGTTAAACTACACTGAACCAAAATAATGCAACAATTTCTAAGATTTTACTGAGTTACAGTTCATATAAGGAAATCAGTCAATTGAAATAAATTCATTAGGCCCTTATCTACAGATTTCACATGACTGGGAATATAGATATGCATCTATTGGTCACAGATAGGGGCGTGGATCAGAAAACCAGTCAGTATCTGGTGTTACCACCATTTGCCTCATGCAGCACGACATCTCCTTCGCATTGAGTTGATCAGGCTGTTGATTGTGGCCTGTTGAATGTTGTCCCACTCCACTTCAATGGCTGTGCGAAGTTGTTGGATATTGGCGGGAACTGGAACACGCTGTCGTACACATCGATCCAGAGCATCCCAAACATGCTCAATGGGGCTGTACATTATCATGCTGCAACATGAGGTGATGGGGGCGGATGAATGGCACGACAATGGGCCTCAGGATCTCGTCACGGTATCTCTGCATTCAAATTGCCATCGATAATATGCAATTGTGTTAGTTGTCCGTAGCTTATGCCTGCCCATACCATAACCCCACCGCCTCCATTAGGCACTCTGTTCACAACGTTGACATCAGCAAACCGCTCGCCCACACGCCGCCATACACGCTGTCTGCCATCTGCCCGGTACATTTGAAACCGGGATTCATCCGTGAAGAGCACACTTCTCTAGCATGCCAGTGGCCATCGAAGGTGAGCGTTTGCTCACTGAAGTCGGTTACGACACCGAACTGCAGTCAGGTCAAGACCCTGGTGAGGACTACGAGCATGCAGATGAGCTTCCCAGAGACGGTTTCTGACAGTTTGTGCAGAATGTCTTCGGTTGTGGAAACCCAGTTTCATCAGCTGTCCGGGTGGCTGGTCTCAGACGATCCCGCAGGTGAAGAAGCCGGATGTGGAGGTCCTGGGCTGGTGTGATTACACCTGGTCTGCAGTTGTGAGGCCAGTTGTACGTACTGCACAATTCTCTAAAACAACGTTGGAGGCGGCTTATGGTAGAGAAATGAACATTAAACTCTCTGGCAACAGCTCTGGTGGACATTCCTGCAGTCAGCATTCCAATTGCACACTCCCTCAAAACTTGAGATATCTGTGGCATTGTGTTGTGTGACAAAACTGCACATTTTAGAGTGGCCTTTTATTGTCCCCAGCACAAGGTGCACCTGTGTAATAATAATGGTGTTTAATCAGCTTCTTGATATGCCACACCTGTCAGGTGAATGGATTATCTTGGCAAAGGAGAAATGCTCACTAACAGGGATGTAAACACATTTGTGCTCAACATTTAAGAGAAATAAGCTTTTAGTGCATATGGAACATTTCTGGGATCTTTTATTTCAGCTCATGAAACATGGGACAAACACTTTACATGTTGCGTTTATATTTTTGTTCAGTGTATATACTACTGCATCTTGTGTTGCAACACTCCTATAATTTCCAGTTAGTCTCATCACATCTGCCCAATTGACTAACATTAAACTTGCAGCGACTGGAATAGCACTGTGGTTTACTCTGATAATTGGGCATTTTGCAACAATCACATTTAGACCAGGGACCTGCCATTGATATTGTTGGTATTTTTCTTCAGGGGGGGAAGAGGAACAGAAGATTACCTGCGATGGATCACAAACAGTAGAATTTCTCCCAAGGACACATTTCTTCAGGGCAAACCCACTGTTTCGCATCTCCGCCATTAACTCAGAGGGGTGCATCGACGGACCTGTTAGCACAAATCACAGCCTCAAAGTCCCATTGATGTCTGCCTACATCCACCACTGCCTCCACAGTGGGGAATTCAGGGGCGGCTTTGTTAACAGAAAGGGACACCAAATCAACTCACTCGTCATCTGGTTGAGCAAATCATACAATATCATTCTCCCAAAGCAGCGGTTAGGGGAATCAGAATACACAATACTTGCATTTTTCTCCCGGCACAGGAGGGGCTCCATTATGGCCTCCACTATCAATGCCATGCGCAGGACTGTCCCACGGTAAACATTACTTTACTATTCCACTTCCTGATTGTAGGAGTCAGAATCAGCACCACAGGACACTAGGAACTATGGCAACTATTGCTACAACATGCTACAAGGTACAGACTAGAGCTGGGTGATATTTACAAAAATCCACATTGCGATAAACTGCCTGAATTGATGCGATAACAATAAATAGAACGCTAAGTTTATAACAATGTGCACCACAGTTTTTTAAAATGATCCTTTCAACTACTACTACTAGTTTGATGGTTGTAGCCATCAGTTGTCCCATTAACAATCAACGGCAGAGATAAGTGATCGGTATGGTTGGTGCCGATCATTTTAGGTTTATCGTCCCAGCTCTAGTACAGACTTTTCACAAATATACAATGTAATAATAGTGAATTATATTCTATTGGACAAATTAATATTGCATGTTTTTGGTGCCATAGGTGCATCATAAATTGATCACAAGTTCGTTATTCAAATTATTTCTAAGAAATTGATGCAAAATATAAGGTAATTTGGTTGTTGAGAATGAAAGTATGAAAAAAAAACTTGATAAATTGTTTTTCTTTTTTTAAATAAACCAGTACGTCTGTGAATTATTATTTATAATTATCAGCTAACTTGTTTACCTCTATTTATCCAGGTAGGTCAATTAAAAACAGATCGTTATTTGTACCTGCTTCCTCTGTGGGTGCAGCGCTGGCATTGATCCCAGACAGGCCGAAGAGAGGGCACTCTCTGTCTGTATTCACATGGCCCCATTTGTGACACTTGATGCATCTCACATTGCGAACCTGAGAATAACAGGTGATTAGACGACTTACATCCATTCATTCCATCACTCATAATACCTCCAATAGGACCCAATTGGGATGACGTCAAGCAAAGCATGTACTATGCAGCTATGCATGCCGTAATGTAAATAAACACATTGTAATCCTGAGTTCAACATCATCCTTTTCCTTTAGCACCACGAAGTGTCAAATTCCAACACACAAGTTTGTTAACAGAAGAGTATTTAGCGCTGACGATAATCATATTAAACAGCAGATTGTTATCAATAGGTACGTCATTTGAGTTAATTAAACTGGATCGCTGGTTCTAATCCTCGAGCCGACTAGGTGAAAAATCTGTCGATGTGCCCTTGAGCAAGGCACTTAACCCTAATTGCTCATGTAAGTCGCTCTGGATAAGAGCGTCTGCTTAATGACTAAAAATGTAAATATATATATATATATATATATATATATATATATATTTATTTATTCACCTGAATTCCAAATGGTTGATCCCTAATAGCCATGTCATCCTTGGCATACCTAAATAGATGAAAGAGAAAGTATCAACAAATGTACATTTAAACTCAAGTCATCTAAATATTTGTACTGATCAACACAATTAGTGACTTACTTCTCTCGAGGGGCCGTCTTTTGCCACTCAAACTTGTATTCTGATTCACCTTCCTATAAGAGAAGATACAATGTATACAATAATAAACCAACACATGCATTTAAATCTACAACATTTACCAAAGTATACTAAACAGAAATTTAAAACGCAACATGCAACAATTTCAAAGATTTTACTAAGTTACAGAAGGAAATCAGTCAATTGAAATAAATAAATTAGGCCCTAATCTATGGATTTCACATGACTGGGCAGGGGCGCAGCCATTGGTGGGCCTGGGAGGGCATAGGCCCACCCACTTGGGAGCCAGACCCAGCCAATCAGAATGAGTTTTTCCCCACAAAAGGGCAATATTACAGCCTCTGAACAAGAGAGAGATTTTAAACATCAGGTGCTTACCTCTTTGGTCTCTTCTTCTCAGTAGAGTGCAGAGAGGGTGAGAAAGGAGAGCAGAGATCAGTGGAAAGTCATGGTTTGTTTAGCATGGTAAAAATGCCCATCTAAAGCGGCAGAACCAGGATGGATGTAGTTACCTTTGTCTGCCCCAGGTGGAGCTTCATACATGAAGTTGAGACCATTTTTCACACGATCATCTCCCATCAACAGTCTAGGAGAAAGATTTTAACAACAGAAACGTCAGACAATGGGTTTCAATCTGTTATATGATCAATTAGAGCTGTGATTTTACACAAGACAAAATATAGGTATACATTTAGATAACATACTGTAGTGTCGAGTCAAATGTTGCTAATAATGCTGTAACAAAGGAGTCCGCTTATACTGAACTTTGATCATAAGTTTTATTCATATCACAAGATTTCAGCATAAGTGTACAGATGTATATAGCATCCGGAGAGCAGTGTTTCCCAAATTGCAATGGCCGCTCTAACGTTCTTTGTTCAAACCCAGTATTTATAATATTCCCCAAAATATGGGTTGCTCCCTCTACTGTCCAATCCCCTGTCTTCTATGGGGCGTCACCCTAAAAACGGCTCTCTTTGAAACTAAATAAACATCCTCTCATCAGTCATAATCTTAATACACTACAATACTTAACAAGTACAGCAACCTCCAGTGGTTAAATAATGAGAGACTAATAAGAAGTCCTATGTAAAGGCATAGCCTAATTGAGCTCCAAGTATTTGGATCATGTTGTGCAGCCACAGATCCTCGGAATATCTGTAACCCACCTGTTGTTGTAGGTGTCTTGTTCTTTTAGGTAAGAATTCATGAGGTCCTCCTGCTTCTTCTTCTCGAATGTTAATTTCTGCTCTGCTATCCATACCTGTACGATGGTAAAATGGATAACGTTGAGAATAGCCAAGTCACATTTGTATCCTAGTAAATGTACTGTATCTATGGGACGTAGCTAGTTATCTTTCCTAATGTTACATAATGTAGTTAGCTAGCTACTGTGCTAGCTAACATCTATGTTAGCTAGCTAGCTTCATTCTGGCTTGCTAATGTTAGCTGACTGATTTAGCTAGCAACCGAACCTATAAGCCTAGCTAGCTAGGGATCATTCTTCTCACAACTAAATAACATCTAGAGGTGATATGTTCAAGTTGGAAATACACTTTATTCAGCTATCTAGATAACTGTTAGCTGGCTAAATCCAAATTAGGTTATATAGTTAGCTAATTTAGTTACTTCCTGGTGAGCAAACCTAGACCAAAGATTTTGCCACTTACCTTTTTTATATTTGACTTAGATGCAGGGTGAAAATCTTTCTTGCACATAAAATTAGCAAATGACTTCCCCATGATTGAAGAATATTAGTTAGCTAGCTAGGGGATTAAATGCGAAACGTTGGTAAAATCGCGCTGACAAAAACAAAACTGTCGTTACTAGTTACCACAGCCACAAAGTCATACACCCCGCCTATTTCTAGAATTTCTTCTTCTTAAAATGTGATTTTAAACCTAACCTTAATCCTAACATTAACCACACTGTTAACCTTATGCCTAAACATAAATGAAGACCAAAAAGCTCATTTTTGTTTTCATGAATTTTTACGATATAACCACTTTGTGGCTGTGGTAACTAGTGGAAACACCCAAAGCTACGTTATTAAAATCTTCTTCCGAGTCAGCTTCTGCGTGCGTGACCTCTGACGTACAACCAACAACACGGAGGCAGTCACAGCATTCATTGTGCGCACTTGTGAAATCTGGTAAAGAATGAAATAAAAGTGAAAGTAATGACAAAGTTTCTGGTTTAATGAACCAGGGGGACATTAAAAAAAATTCCATTGTCGGCTACAATTTGTGATCCGGTACTTGGCTGCAGTGACAGGTAACATGCCTAGCTGAAATCAGCAGATTATTTCAGATTGTACATCAGACAGGCAATGTCCAGTGTATGGTCAAGTGTTTTGTTTTTGTGTTCATTTAGTAAAATCATCAACCATTTAAGTGTATTTGATCATAGTGTGTTCTTTGTAAATAGCCTTCTGTCACAGTAACTAGCTTCGCACTGGGCACAAACTGGTTGAATCAGTTGTTTCAACGGAATTTGTCAACGTATTGTGACGTGGAATCTAAAAGTAATTAATGTAAACTGTTGTTTTGAGGGTGACATTTCAACCACAGGATTATGTCATCATTGTGACACATTTTCAACATAGGCAAACCTTGTATAAAATATGTTGAATTTGTACCTTTTAAACAACGTCAGATCTTCAACATTATATCCACCATCAGAAGAAAAAAAACTAGTGGGCAGCACCTCCTACTCTAGATTGGAGAGTTGATCTACAACTATGCTCTTTATTTAGTGATTGGGGAAAAAATCGATAGTTACATATCGCAATATTATTTTTGCGATTGTTGGCTGTACCTGCACCAAAACTCCAGTATTTTCCCCTTCATAGCTTGTTCTCCATCTTCTTTTTAAATAGGGAGTCAATTTGTTTTCACTTTTATTTCCATGACTGATCAAAACTCGTTTTCTCATGGCTCTCTTGTCCCTCTGCAGCAGACATACTGTATAGTGAGCAATATGTTTGGAACATTGAATCGCAATAAAATCACAGTATCGAATCGCAATAGATAAAGACTCGTGAGAATCGCAATACATATCGTATTGGCACCTAAGTATCGTGATAATATCGTATTGTGAGGTCCCTGGCAATTCCCATCCCTAACTTTATTGTTTTATTGGGATCTTTAAAGGGATCATTTAAATAAAGTTCGATTTGATTTAGTCCTATTCTTTAACTTTGATTCTTGGTTGAGATGGAGAAGTGAATCCAACATATCAATTATTAATTTGTAGACAAACTGGAATTAAAGCTAGACAAAGATACATCTCCTTCAAATGTTGATATTTGGTTGTGTTGACAACCAAACACAATTAAATTCCACTAGCCTATTTACTTGTCGACAAGTTAACAAATATATGTTGGATTCACGTCTCCAACTAAACCAAAACTAAAAGTTAAAGAATACGTTTTAAGCCAGTGGCTCAGATGAAACTATCCAAGCATTAGATATCCTTTAAATGATGACATTTAGATGCGTTGTCAACCAAACACAATTCAATAATATTTTTGTAATATAGTTAAGGCTGTCTTACAAACTAATGTGACAGTATTTATTCAACCTTAAAATGAGTAACACATCCATGGCCACATTTTGAGGTTAGCCTACTGTAACTATAAATGTCTTCTTATGTAATCATAGAAAGCATGCATGTTCAAATAACATGCAAAGGTCGCAGTTCTGTGGAGATCTTCTTGCTATAATAATCTGTGCAGAATGTTGAACAGCATTGATCACAATGTCCTTTTTAATGTAATCTTAACTGCAATCCAGTTCATTTGGTTGTGCTATTAGATGAAGCATTGATAACACATTAAGTTGTTGTATAAATACAAAATATCTGACATTGAATTCCCATTTGAACTTTGTTGTGCATTTAAATGATTGAAAGCGCAGTGATAACACATTTAGATGACAACTAAACCAAAAATCTGACATTGTTTTTCCATTGGAATTTGGTTGTGCTTTTAGATGGTTGAAAGGATAGTTATAACACATTGGGAATTCAACGAACTTCTGTCTTTTTGAGTGGGTTAATACATTTAGAAATCTTATTGATCAACGTCTCAACCAAATATTACCCACATTTCCAAGTTGAAATGACGTGGTTTGCCCAGTGGGTTGGTTTGGTTGCTGAATTCTTTCTGCCCACCAGAATGTACCCATCTTCCTGTGACACCTTTGTGGCTCTGCCCCCTGCCACCCAGGGACAGCGCATCATCTTCGGAAAGAACTCAGACAGGCCCTGTGATGAGGTCCAGGAGGTGGTCTACTTCCCTGCAAGAGACTACAATGCAGGAGAGAAAGTTGAAGTAAGTCTCTAAGACCTCCTCTGTGCATGTTTTCAGCATGTACACTACCGGTCAAAAGTTTTAGAACACCTACTCATTCAAGGGTTTTTCTTTATTTTTACTATTTTCTACATTGTAGAATAATAGTGAAGACATCAAAACTATGAAATAACACATGGTAACAACACATCTGACGTGCTGATCCTCAACACGGGGGCCCCTCAGGGGTGCTTGATCATTCCCCTCCTGTACTCCCTGTTCACCCATGACTGCATGGCCAGGCACGACTCCAACACCATCATTAAGTTTTCCGACGACACAACAGTGGTAGGCCTGATCACAGACAACGATGAGACAGCCTATAGGGAGGAGGTCAGAGACCTGGCCGTGTGGTGCCAGGATAACAACCTCTCTCTCAACGTGACCAAGACAAAGGAGATGATTGTGGACTACAGGAAAAAAAAGAAGACTGAGTACGCCCCCATTCTCATTGACGGGGCTGTAGTGGAACAGGTTGAGAGCTTCAAGTTCCTTGGTGTCCACATCACCAACGAACTATCATGGTCCAAACACACCAAGACAGTCGTGAAGAGGGCACGACAAAGCCTATTCCCCCTCAGGAGACTGAAAAGATTTGGCATGGGTCCTCAGATCCTCAAAAAGATCTACAGCTGCACCATCGAGAGCATCCTGACTGGTTGCATCACCGCCTGGTATGGCAACTGCTCGGCCTCAGACCACAAGGCACTACAGAGGGTAGTGCGTACGGCCCAGTACATCACTGGGGCCAAGCTTCCTGCCATCCAGGACCTCTATACCAGGCGGTGTCAGAGGAAGGCCCTCAAAATTGTAAAAGACTCCAGCCACCCTAGTCATAGACTGTTCTCTCCGCTACCGCACGGCAAGCGGTACCGGAGCGCCAAGTCTAGGTCCAAAAGGCTTCTCAACAGCTTCTACCCCCAAGCCATAAGACTCCTGAACAGCTAATCATGGCTACCCGGACTATTTGCACCCCCACCCCATCTTTTTACGCTGCTGCTACTCTGTTAATTATTTATACATAGTCACTTTAACTCTACCCACATGTACATATTACCTCAACTAGCCGGTGCCCCCGCACATTGACTCTGCACCGGTACCCCCCTGTATATAGCCTCCCTACTGTTATTTTATTTTACTTCTGCAATTTTTTTCCTCAACACTTTTTTGTTGTTGTTTTATTTTACTTTTTTATTAAGAAATAAATGCATTGTTGGCTGTAAGTAAGCATTTCACGGTAATGTCTACACCTGTTGTATTCGGCGCATGTGGCAAATAAAATTTGATTTGATTTGGAATCATGTAGTAACCAAAGAAGTGTTAAACAAATGAAAATATATTTTATATTTGAGATTCTTCAAATAGCCACCCTTTGACTTGATGACAGCTTTAAACACTCTAGGCATTCTCTCAATCAGCTTCATGAGGTAGTCACCTGGAATGCATTTCAATTAACAGGTGTGCCTTCTTAAAAGTTAATTTGTGGAATTTCTTTCCTTCTTAATGTGTTTAAGCCAATCAGTTGGCAGAAGGTCGCCCTATTTGGTAAAAGACCAAGTCCATATAATGGCAAGAACAGCTCAAATAAGCGAAGAGAAACGACAGTCCATCATTACTTTAAGACATGATGGTCAGTCAATACGGATAATGTCAAGAACTTTGAAAGTTTCTTCAAGTGCAGTCGCAAAAACCATCAAGCGCTACGACGAAACTGGCTCTCATGAGGACTACCACAGGAATGGAAGACCCAGAATTACCTCTGCTGCAGAGGATAAGTTCATTAGAGTTACCAGCCTCAGAAATTGCAGCCCAAATAAATGCTTCACAGAGTTCAAGTGACAGACACGTCTCAACATCAACTGTTCAGAGGAGACTGTGTGAATCAGGCCTTCATGGTCGAATTGCTGCAAAGAAACCACTACTAAAAGACACCAATAAGAAGAAGAGACTTGCTTGGACCAAGAAACACGAACAATGGGCATTAGACCGGTGGAAATGTGTCCGTTGGTCTGGAGTCCAAATTTGAGATTTTTGGTTCCAACCGCCGTGTCTTTGTGAGACGCGGTGTGGGTGAACGGATGATTTCTGCATGTGTAGTTCCCACCGTAATGCATTGAGGAGGTGGTGTTATGGTGTGGGGGTGCTTTGCTGCTGACACTGTCTGTGATTTATTTAGAATTCAAGGCACACTTAACCAGCATGGATACCACAACATTCTGCAGCGATAGGCCCTCCCATCTGGTTTGGGCTTAGTGGGACTATCATTTGTTTTTCAACAGGACAATGACCCAACACACCTCCAGGCTGTGTAAGGGCTATTTGACCAAGAAGGAGAGTGATGGAGTGCTGCATCAGATGACCTGGCCTCCACAATCCACAATGGTTTGGGATGAGTCGGACCGCAGAGTGAAGGAAAAGCTGCCAACAAGTGCTCAGCATATGTGGGAACTCCTTCAAGACTGTCAGAAAAGCATTCTAGGTGAAGCTGGTTGAGAGAATGCCAAGAGTGTGCAAAGCTGTCATCAAGGCAAAGGGGTGGCAACTTTGAAGAATCTAAAATATATTTTGATTTGTTGAACACTTTTTTGGTTACTACATGATTCCATATGCGTTATTTCATAGTTTTAATGTCTTCATTATTTTTCTACAATGTAGAAAATAGTAAAAATAAAGAAAAACCATTGAATGAGTAGGTGTTCTAAAACTTTTGACCGGTAGTGTATATTGTAGTGATGTGGAAATGTCACCTGTCTTACACTCAGTAGGCACACAATGACAGCTGTGTCCCCTTTCTGTTTTGCTCCTCGGACTAGTGCACATACATCGAAATTGAGCAGGCAGCCCATACCAATGCAGTTGTGTTGAGCAGACCAGCCTGGTTGTGGGGGGCTGAGATGGGGGCTAACGAGCACCAGGTGTGCATCGGAAACGAGGCAGTATGGGGCAGAGAAAGTGCTGAGGACGAGGAGGCCCTTCTTGGCATGGATTTTGTCAGGTGAATATCTGCCAGCTGAATCATACATCATACATATCTGTTCCTGTCTGTAGTTTGTCATTCTTCAACTATGCATTGCTCAGGTATTTGTTAATTATGGCTTGTAAAATAAAAATGCATTGCACTGTAATGGGGACAAGGTAGCAAGGAATGAGGACACATCAATGTGATGGGTATGTCTTTTCAGACTTGGTCTGGAGAGAGCGGAGACTGCTCAGAAGGCTGTGGATGTTATTGCTGAGCTGCTGGAGAAATATGGCCAGGGAGGAAACTGCATGGAGGACCAGTCTGGCTTTACCTACAACAACAGCTTCCTCATCTCCGACAGGACTGAGGCCTGGGTTATGGAGACGTCTGGGAAGTACTGGGCAGCAGAGAAAGTGGGAGGTACATTAATAAGCTATCAGGGTTTAAGTTGACCCAACTTGTAAACTTGCAGAACAATAACAGTTTTTGTTGTTTTTAAATCCTCCATTAGATGGATATCGTAATATCTCCAATCAATACTCAATAACAACCAAGATAGACAAGGAACACCCTGGGATGAGGGAGTATGCAAAGAGCCATGGCTGGTGGGATGGGAAGGCCCCGTTTAGTTTTGCTGAGACATACTCTTTCATGACTACAGCCAGAATAGAGGCGTCTGGCAGCAGATACTGCGAAGGACGTAACCTACTAGAGAGAAGCAAAGGTGAGTTACTGTATATTGGTTAAGGATGTAGATAAATGTAGGCCTTTGTAGGCATTTGCTTTAGGGATTAGTTGTTTGCGTCGTATAGAAAAAATGGGTTTGATCAGATTTGAATCAAAACTGAATAGTGAATCCATATAGGACAGGGCTCACCAACTCTTTTCCTGGAGAGCTACTGTCCTGTAGGTTTTCGCTCCAACACAAGTTGTAACTAACCCGATTCAACTTATCAACCAGCTAATTATTAGAATCAAGTGTGCTAAATTAGGTTTTGTAGCGAAAACCTACAGGACGGTAGCTCTCCAGTAACAGGGTTGTGAGAGCCCTGATATAGGATGACAAATTTACAATGAATTACTTCTGAGTATTTAGGACACATCACAGCTGAGACAATGATGGATATCCTGAGGGACAAGGAGAGTGGCATCAACATGGAGGGGATGTTCATGACAACAGGAAGCATGGTGTCTGTCGTACCAACAGACCCCACCCTGCCAGGGGTGCACTACATCACTGGAACTCCTGACCCTGAGAGGTAGAGCATGGAGCTAGCCACCGCTAACACACCCTACCTAGCCATGTTATTGTTCCATCTACATTTTATGCAAATCAATGTATATTAAGGGTCCTTTCTTACCCAACAGGTCTGTTTTCAAACCTTTCGTCTTTGTGAACGACATTAAACAGTTGAAGCAAACTAGCTCTCCCTGTTACGGCCCTGATGACCCTGTTAAGAAGATACCCCGTTTCCAGAGCAAGCCGGATCGCAAACATCCACTGTTTATCAAACATGAGGTGGTGGCTGCAATCATTGACAGCACCAAGGTACAGAACTTTTCCAAAGCTATACATCTTAACTCTTTAAAGAATAAGCAAATATTTGGCTTAATTTTGTATTGTATTATTTTTAGGACAAAGGAAAGAAGATCATGCAGAATATGAGAGTGGTAGAAAGGGAGAAGATGGCTGAGATGGAGAAACTTTTATCAAGTGGTATTGAAGACCCTACTTCAGTTGTGCACCTGTTTTCTTACTCAGTCCAGGAAGAACTGAGCGTGTACAGTAACATTTAGTGGGATCTTTCATATTGGAATGACAAGGGGTTGTTTCAACACCAACCCCAGCATGCAATACTGTCACTATATTGGAACAGTGAAATGGTAGTTTCACAAATTGCTGCTCATCAGTAGAAAGTATTAATACATCTAGATCAATTACAGCCTGTCATATTTTCTTTGGTTGAATATAATACTTGTTTATAATTTAAACATTAAACAGTATTACTAGAGCAGTTGAGGAGAGAGTTTAGCCTTTAGTTTGACCTTTGAGCTGTTTACTGAGTGATTTGCATAGGTTGATTTAAAGTAAAACAGGACAAATTCCCATTATCACACCACTGCCTTCAGGCATCCTAAACCACCCCGAAAGGCCTTGCAGGTAGAGCCACACCCACACGTTACCACAACATGTATCCATCATTCCTGTTTTAACCCAGGATAAAAGGAATTACATAAACCAGAGGTACAATAGAGGATTCTTTTTTTCAGAACAGGCTGGGAATCAGAGGAACATGCAGCATTAGTTGGCTTCAAAGTACATGATACCGTACATTCTCTTAGTCAAGTGACATGAAATAAATACATTGACAAACCATTATTCAAACATTCATAATGCCAAACAAGGTGAATACATGCCTCAATTACCTTATTAGCAACAGTAATAAGCACAACCCCATTAAGGACAAAATAACCCAAATAATAAAGAGTACATTTAATCTGGCACATTCGGTATTGTACTCCTTTTCTTCCAACAAACATAAGACAACCAAAACAAACTGGAATTTAATTGTTGTGTATTTAAAAATCCCAAAAGAAGATAGCTGATCAAAAATGTATATATTTTTTTGCCAAGAATCATTCAAATAAGTAAAAACCAAACAATACAATTCTGCATTAGCAGACAAGTCTGCATCCATAAACATTTGACACCATTCTATCTACATTATTCAAATGTATTAAAAATAGATCTAGCTGCCATATCCTATTTTCAAGTTATAAACAATGGCCAAATTAAGGGTATTTAGAAAACACAGCAACATTACAGGCTTCCATTTTTAATACCTGAGGTCACATTGCTAAATACCATTCTTGTCATCCAAACTAAATAAAAACATGTTAAACCAGAGCCTCATGGTATACGAGTGTCATCAAGGGGATACAAGCTAGTCTGTATAATTTGAGATGATAATGCAAGATATTTGACATCCATAGTTTTGGAAGATTATCCATTATTAGTTCTGCCTGTTAAATCTTGTTATGCATACAGTACCACACAAAAACATTACAATGGACAGTTTAAAAGAAAACAAACAAGTGCTCAATGCTTGTTTATGACTGCATATTTCCATGTGCAAAACAATACGAGTATTTCAAAAAGCAGCAGATTCTTCAATTCACCTCTGTGGGTTAATACTGCTAGTGCTAGGTAGGTAGAGACCTGGATTCAGGTCTGGTAGGTAGCCGATCCCTTTGTCATCCTGTGCCTCAGTAGAGCCCTTGAGACTGGGCCTGTCCAGGGCCCTTGAGACTGGGCCTGTCCAGGGCCCACCTTACGCTGTGAAGCGGTAGTGTAGCTCATCATCTTGGAAGCCGTACTCCTGGGTGATGTGCTGGAGAACCCCACCCTGCTGCAGTCGGCCCCCGTAGAGCAGAGCCTCTCCTCGGTCCTGTGACAGACCCACCTGCAATAGCCACTCCACCAGCTCAATGCCAAGAAAAGTGTCCGCCACCGTCCTCTCCCCACACCTGTGTGTCAGAGGAAGGATTCACCAACAGGCCAGTTATGCACTCCCCACAGCTGCCAGGGCCAAGAGGAACGAAAGAAAGAGGAAGCAGATACACAGGAGGAGGAAGATGGCACACAGACAAAAGCAAGAGAGAAGTGCTCAACACACAACCCATGCACCAAAAGCCAGGGAAAAATCATTTATATTAGGGATGATCAATGGGTATACAAAATGATATGTCAGACTGTCAAATCATAAGCAAAGTCGTAAAAGACTAATAATAAGAGGCGGTTTTAGTGTCTCATATTTAGTCAGAACAATCTCACCATGCAATAGTAGTTTCAAGAATACTGTAAGCCGTTTTCACAAATATACAGTGGTTGCACAGCAAAAGCAAACAGTTTCTATTGAATCCCTGAGCAGAGCAGCACTGTAAGGCGACTATAATTGACCCCTCACCTCTTCTTCTGGACAATGTCCCGGACACACTGTTCTTTGTGGTACGTGGTGAATTGAGTGCAGGTCATCATGATGTCGTCAGATACAACCAGTTGAGGCTGCTCCTCTGGCTTCATTCTATGCCACAGATTGGATATCCTGGACAAAAATACATCTCAAGGCTTCTTATTCAATACACAGCTTACTACTAGATCCTATGAAATGCAAGTCCGGGAACCACTTACCTCTTTTTAAATGGCAGTATTATCAAATGTTTGTCCAGCCCAAAAATCCCGAATGAGATGAAGCCCTGAGGACAGAAAACACAGATATGTAAACACCACCACCATTAAATGAATACAGCAGTTGTTAATGTCATTATGTCTAGGCCAGGGAGGCCTATTGTACCTGTCCATAGTTGACCACAGCACAGAAGAACTGCAGCTCTAAGTAGAGTCTCCCAGGAACTCGATTAAACAGCCACCACAGGCAGCTGGACAGGTTCTAAAACCGTGGAGAGAGATGTAATCAAACAGGGATCATCATACTAACCCAAACCTGAAGGGCAGGACAGGGGTAAAACAAATCAACAGACTCTGTTGCATAAGGTAGGCCTAGCTGTGAGGTAATGGCATAATACTCTAGCACAACATTATTACATTAACTGACCCTTGAGCAACAACCCAACCAATTAGGTTTTATCTTATTCTGAGGGAGCTTTGTGTGATGTTGAGTCACTCACAGCTAATAGGCTGACGGTCAGTAGCAGGCACAGGAGCACGTGGCGGGCCACCTGTCTGTCTGCTAGCTGCCTCTGCTGCTCCTCCTGGGCCAGTAGACAGCCTGGGGACTCACAGTCAGTCCCACACTGACCTGAGGGAGGCCACAGAGCAGACAGATGGTGAGTGACCCACAGGGTAATGACTGATAGGTTAGTTGAGTGAATAATTTGAAACCAAGTGTGGGAATAACTATTGCAAGGAGTATTTCCTGGTCTGACCACCTGACCTGACCAGGGAAACTCCTGGCCCTTGGTTTAACAACATTATTTGTATACAGGAAGAGGAGATATCTGACACAATTAATTCAAATGAAGACTTGAGGGATGTAGGTTAGTAGGTTTCTTAAATCACTACCTGGCTCGATGACAAGTGTGTCATTTTTGTTTGTGCTGACAATCATATCAGGCATGGGCTGCGACGGAGCACAGTCACACATATGGCACTCTGACAACACACATAGAATACATTTGATCAGCATCATACAATTGATTAAATGGTATACATGTCATAAATCCAGCTAACATACAGTATACCTCTGTTGATGCTTCCGGTTCCGGCTGGCTCCAACATGTCTGGGATAGTTTGGGTATCGGGGCAACTCTGGGGCCTCAGATCCTCAGTAGTGCTTAACATAGAGTCTCTCTCCAGGACCTGGTACTTAAAATCCCATGTGCCTCGACTGAGGCCCATCAATGAGCCCCCACCCAGCACTATGCTGAAGACAAGCACAACTGAGGTGCAGATGTTCTGCGGAAGTCAAAAAGACAGAGGGTCAGGATGATGAAGTCATGTTCTATGAGAGGTGATATTTCCCCAAATCTTGAATGTCTTCTTTTCCAAGTCTGTCTCACCTGGGGTCTCCCATAGAAGAAAGCTGAGTCGATGGTATCAGGCATCCTCTCCCCAGTTATGAGGAGCACTGCTGCCACAAGGGCTGGGACTCTGTTGGCATCAGATAAAGACTGTTTGAGCAGCAGATTCAACAAAAGGTCCCTTGGTTTCCAGCTATTTCATTATTCAGTGGAAAACTCATGACTCACCCCCAGCCTGCAATCACCAGGAAGCCTGGTGCAAACTTTAGCTCACCACCCCTTTTCATCAGCACAAGGGAAAGTGCTATCAGACCTAAAACAACACGCACTCTAGGTCGAGATTATCATTGCTAGACACCGCACTATTCACTTTTTTAATCACAGTATGTTAACATACTTTATACATACAACACAAAAGCATACTAGAGGAAAGAATGGTGGTGGTATAATGTTGACGGTTGTGTGGGTGACAGACATACCTGGCCATACATAAGTACTGTACAGTGAGCTGTATAACAGTGTGAACGTCAACACGTGTCCAATGAAGCTGTCTTGTCGCACGACAAAGTTCCACAAGATCATGCCAACACAAGCTAGAATCTGGATGCACAGAGAGGCAAACGTCAATAGACAGCAGCAAGCAATGACAACTTTTAGACAGTGATATTGCACTTACAACTTTTACTATGGACAATATGATATGTACAACATTATTCCTTGGACATACAATATGTAAATTGATGGATGTTTTGTGAAAAGTAACAGATATTCAAAAGCAAAGCCTTGCCTGTGCCAGGAACAGGTTGAGGGTGAACATGTGAGGTAGTCTCTTGAATTTCTTACTCAGGAACATGACAGTTACTGTCCAAACCTGTAACAAAAAGATAATCTCAACGCTAGATATGCTTGTCTACACAAACCATACAGAAAACGATACCATACGTCTTAATGTAAACCGGAATTGCAATTTCATAAACCCATATCACAACAAACACCACATGCATTCTAGAGCAAGTCAGTGCAATTATATCACAGCATATAAAAAGCATAGATGTCGTCCCCACAGTAACTACACTGAACAAAAACATAAAACACAACATAAAAAAATTGTTGGTCCCATGTTTCAGCTGAAATAAAAGATCCCAGAAATGTTCCATACAATACGCACAAAAAGCCTCTCTCTAAAATGTTGCACACAAATTTGTTTACATCCTTGTTAGTGAGCATTTCTCCTTTGCCAAGATAATCCATCCACCTGACAGGTGTAGCATATCAAGAAGCTGATTAAACAATAAAAGGCCACTCTAAAATGTGCAGTTTTGTCAGACAACACAATGCCACAGATGTCTCAAGTTTTGAAGGAGTGTGCAATTGGCATGCTGACTGCAGGAATGTCCACCAGAGCTGTTGCCAGAGAATTGAGTGTTCATTTCTCTACCATAAGCCGTTTTAGAGAATTTCGCAGTATGTCCAACCGGCCTCACAACCGCAGACCACGTGTAACCAAGCCAGCCCAGGACCTCCACATCCAGCTTCTTCACCTGCGGGATCGTCTGAGACCAGCCACCCAGACAGCTGATGAAACTGTGGGTTTGCACATCCAAAGAATTTCTTCACAAACTGTCAAACTGTCTCAGGGAATCTCATCTGCGTGCTTGTCGTCCTCACCAGGGTCTTGACCTGACTGCAGTTTGGCATCGTAACCGACTTCAGTGGGCAAATGCTCACCTTCAATGGCCACTGGCACGCTGGAGAAGTGGGCTCTTCACGGATTAATCCTGGTTTCAACTGTACAGGGCAGATGGCAGACTGCGTTTATGGTGTCGTGTGGGCGAGCAGTTTGCTGATGTCAACGTTGTGAACAGAGTACCCCATGGTGGCGGTGGAGTTATGGTATGGGCAGGCAAAAGCTACAGACAACGAACACTATTGCATTTTATCGATGGCAATTTGAATGCACAGAGATACCGTGACGAGATCCTGAAGCCCATTGTCGTGCCATAATTATGTGAGAATGCTGTTCATAGACCACAGCTCAGCGTTCAACACCATGGTCCCCTCCAAGCTCATCACCAAGCTAGGGACCCTGGGACTGAACCCCTCCCTCTGCAACTGGATCCTGGACTTCCTGACAGGTCGTCCCCAGGTGGTGAGGGTAGGCAACAACACCTCCGCCACGCTGACCCTCAACAAGGGGGCCCCTCAGGGGTGTGTGCCAAGTCCCCTCTTGTACTCCCTGTTCATCCACGACTCAATGGCCACGCATGACTCCAACACAATCATCAAGTTTACTGACGACACAACAGTGGTAGGCCTGATCACCGACGGCGATGAGTCAGCCTACAGGGAGGAGGACAGAGGCTTAGCAGTGTGGTGCCAGGACAACAACCTCTCCTCAACATCAGTAAGACCAAGGAGCTAATCAAGGACTATAGGAGAAAGAGGGGAGAGCACGCCCCCATCCACATCGACGGGGCTGTTGTAGAGCGGGTCGAGAGCTTCAAGTTTCTTGGCGTCCACATCACTAAAGGCCTTTGCAGACTGTACGATTTTCTTATGCCACGATTTTACCATCCCAGACATCTTGGCTCATTCAGTGTGACAGAGTCTAGGTCTGCCGATTAAGTAGGCTCCGACAAAGTTCTGCCAGTGTTCATTTTTTTGCCTTTATCGTTAAAATGTAGCTGGTGTTTACGAGCCGATCCCGGTGACTGAACAATAGGAACACGGCAGGCACTGAGTATGCACACAATACTAAGATGATTGTGAATTGTCAGATTAATATATCATATTTAAACATTTACATGCTGTGCAAGAAGAACGATTCCCCTAATAATCTTGTTTAGGCTACATGACATCTGAAAATCAGGCTACCTGATGGGATTTGGATAAATGCACAATATCGCCATTCAAAATAAACGTTCTACCACAGAGACCATGTTATTTTAGGGAAGCCTATTTGATTCTGAGTTCGGACATAAAGTTTGTATGCAAAAACAATTTCTAAAAGGCATAGCTACTTTCAATTTTTCCAAACTCACTTCACTTGTGTATAAGCATAGTGAGGCTTGCGCTGCTTGTGCTGGCACATGCACAGATAAATACACCGCTGCAGTTGACGTAGCCTACGTCGGCTGACGTAGCCTCACAAGCCAATTGTACAATCTGGCCAAGTTGATATCAAGATTTTAACGTTGCAGTGTGACGTGATAATTGTAAAAGACTGAATCCGACAGTCTGCAAAGCCCTTAAGGACTTAACATGGTTCACACACACCCGCAGTCGTAAAGAGGGCACGGCAGCGCCTCTTCTCCCTCAGGAGTCTGAAAATATTTGGCAAGGGGCCTCGGATCCTCAAAGTTACACAGCTGCACCATCGAGAGCATTTTGACTGGCTGCATCACCGCTTGGTATGGCAAATGCACCACCCTTGACCGCAAAGCGCTACAGAGGGTGGTGCGGACAGCCCAGTACATCACTGGGGCCGTGCTCCCTGCCATCCAGGACCTCTATATCAGGTGGTATCAGAGGAAGGCTGAAAAAATGCCAAAGAATCCAGCCACCCAAGCCATAGACTGTTCCACTCTACTACTGTCCGGCAAACGGTACTGGAGCATCGGCTCTTGGACCAACAGGCTCGAGACAGCTTCTACCCCCAAGCCATAAGACTGCTAAATAGTCAATTAATGGTACCAAAATTATCTGCACTGACTATCTTGCACTGACCCTACGCACACGCACTAGACATCCATCCATATACACAAATACAGTGGCTTGCGAAAGTATTCACCCCCTTGGCATTTTCCCTATTTTGTTGCCTTAAAATCTGAATTAAAATGGAATTTTGGGGGGTTTGTATCATTTGATTTACACAACATGCCTACCACTTTGAAGATGCAAAATATTTCTTATTGTGAAAAAGGTTGGAGTCATTAAAACTCATTTTTCAGCCACTCCACAAATGTCTTGTAACAAACTATAGTTTTGGCAAGTCGGTTAGGACATCTACTTTGTGCATGACACAAGTAATTTTTCAAACAATTGTTTACAGACAGATTATTTAATTTATAGTTCACTGTATCCCAATTCCAGTGGGTCAGAAGTTTACATACACTAAGTTGACTGTGCCTTTAAACAGCTTGGAAAATTCCAGAAAATGATGTCATGGCTTTAGAAGCTTCTGATAGGCTAATTGATATCATTTGAGTCAATTGGAGGTGTACCTGTGGATGTATTTCAAGGCCTACCTTCAAACTCAGTGCCTCTTTGCTTGACATCATGGGAAAATCAAAAGAAAATCAGCCAAGACCTCAGAAAAAAAATGGTAGACCTCCACATGTCTGGTTCATCCTTGGGAGCAATTTCCAAACGCCTGAAGGTACCACGTTCATCTGTACAAACAATAGTACGCAAGTATAAACACCATGGGACCACGCAGCCGTCATACCACTCAGGAAGGAGACGCGTTCTGTCTCCTAGAGATTAACGTACTTTTGTGCGAAAAGTGCAAATCAATCCCAGAACAATAAACAAAAGGACCTAGTGAAGATGCTGGAGGAAACAGGTACAAAAGTATCTATATCCACAGTAAAACGAGTCCTATAATCGACATAACCTGAAAGGCCTCTCAGCAAGGAAGCAGCCACTGCCCCAAAACCACCATAAAAAAGCCAGACTACCGTTTGCAACTGCACATGTGGTTGAGTGGTTGAAAAACGAGTTTTAATGACTCCAACCTAAGTGTATGTAAACTTCCGACTTCAACTGTATACACACATACACACATACATACATACATACATACATACATACATACATACATACATACATACACTCAGCAAAAAAAGAAACGTCCCTTTTTCTGGACCCTGTCTTTCAAAGATAATTCGTAAAAATCCAAATAACTTCATAGATCTTCATTGTAAAGGGTTTAAAACACACTGTTTCCCATGTTTTCCCAATGAACCATAAACAATTAATGAACATGCACCTGTGGAACGGTCGTTAAGACACTAACAGCTTACAGACGATAGGCAATTAAGGTCACAGTTATGAAAACTTAGGACACTAAAGAGGCCTTTCTACTGACTCTGTAAAACACCAAAAGAAAGATGCCCAGGGTCCCTGCTCATCTGCGTGAACGTGCCTTAGGCATGCTGCAAGGAGGCATGAGGACTGCAAATGTGGCCAGGGCAATAAATTGCAATGTCCGTACTGTGAGACGCCTAAGACAGTGCTACAGGGAGACAGGACGGATAGCTGATCGTCCTCGCAGTGTTGCAGACCACGTGTAACAACACCTGCACAGGATCGGTACATCCAAACATCACACCTGCAGGACAGGTACAGGATGGCAAGAACAACTGCCCGAGTTACACCAGGAACGCACAATCCCTCCATCAGTGCTCAGACTGTCCGCAATAGGCTGAGAGAGGCTGGATTGAGGGCTTGTAGGCCTGTTGTAAGGCAGGTCCTCACCAGACCTCACCGGCAACAACGTCGCCTATGGGCACAAAACCACCGTCGCTGGACCAAACAGGACTGGCAAAAAGTGCTCTTCACTGACGAGTCGCGGTTTTGTCTCACCAGGGGTGATGGTCGGATTCGCGTTTATCGTCGAAGGAATGAGCGTTACACCGAGGCCTGTACTCTGGAGCGGGATCGATTTGGAGGTGGAGGGTCCATCATGGTCTGGGGCGGTGTGGCACAGCATCATCGGACTGAGCTTATTGTCATTGCAGGCAATCTCAACGCTGTGCGTTACAGGGAAGACATCCTCCTCCCTCATGTGGTACCCTTCCTGCAGGCTCATCCCGACATGACCCTCCAGCATGACAATGCCACCAGCCATACTGCTCGTTCTGTGTGTGATATCCTGCAAGACAGGAATGTCAGTGTTCTGCCATGGCCAGCGAAGAGCCCGGATCTCAATCCCATCTGGGACCTGTTGGATCGGAGGGTGAGGGCTAGGGCCATTCCCCCTAGAAATGTCTGGGAACTTGCAGGTGCCTTGGTGGAAGAGTGGGGTAACATCTCACAGCAAGAACTGGCAAATCTGGTGCAGTCCATGAGGAGGAGATGCACTGCATACTTAATGCAGCTGGTGGCCACACCAGATACTGACTGTTACTTTCTGTTAGTCACATGTCTGTGGAACTTGTTCATTTTATGTCTCAGTTGTTGAATCTTGTTATGTTCATACATGTTAAGTTTGCTGAAAGTAAATGCAGTTGACAGTGAGAGGATGTTTCTTTTTTTGCTGAGCTATAGATAGATAGATATACATACACTACATTATCACTCCCACACAAAACCCATCCACTATATACACACACGCATACCGACAACACAAACACTCACACTTTTACACTCATCATTTGCTGCTGCTACTCTGTTCTTTATTTTGCTCTTATTATTATTATCTATCCTTTCATTTTACCCTGCCTTCATGTACATACAGTGCATTCGGAAGGTATTCAGACCTGTTTACTTTTTCCACAGTTTGTTACGTTACAGCCTTATTCTAAAAATTGATGAAATCGTTTTTTTTCCCCTCATCAATCTACACACAATACCCCATACTGACAAAGCAAAAACAGGTTTTTAGAACAGTTATTTTCAGGTCTCTCCAGATATGTTCGAACGGATTCAAGTCCGGAAACTGGCTGGGCCACTCAAGGACATTCAGAGACCTGTCCCGAAGCCACTCCTGCGTTGTTTTTGCTTAGGGTTGTTGTCCTGTTGGAAGGTGAACCTTCGCCCCAGTCTGAGGTCCTGAGCAGGTTTTCATCAAGGATCTCTCTGTACTTTGCTCCGTTCATCTTTCCCTCGATCCCGTCCAGTCTCCCAGTCCCTGCCACTGAAAAACATCCCCACAGCATGATGCTGCCACCACCATGCTTCACCGTAGGGATGGTGCCAGGTTTCCTTCAGACGTGATGCTTGTCATTCAGACCAAAGAGTTCAATCTTGGTTTCATCAGACCAGAGAATCTTGTTTCTCATGGTCTGAGTGTCCTTTAGGTGCCTTTTGGCAAACTCCAAGAAGCTGTCATGAGCCTTTTACTGAGGAGTGGCTTCCGTCTGGCCACTCTACCGTAAAGGCCTGATTGGTGGAGTGCTGCAGAGATGGTTGTCCTTCTGGAAGGTTCTCCCATCTCCACAGAGAAACTCTGGAGCTCTGTCAGAGTGACCATGGGGTTCTTGGTCACCTCCCTGACCAAGGCTTTTCTCCCCCGATTGCTCGGTTTGGTCGGGTGGCCAGCTCTAGGAAGAGTCTTGGTGGTTCCTAACTTCTTCCATTTAAGAATGATGGAGGCCACTTTGTTCTTGGGTACCTTCAATGCTGCAGAAATGTTTTGGTACCCTTCACCAGATCTGTGCCTCGACACATTCCTGTCTCGGAGCTCTACAGATAATTCCTTCGACCTCATGGCTTGGTTTTTGCTCTGACATGCACTGTCAACTGTGGGACCTTATATAGTCAGGTGTGTGCCTTTCCAAATCATGTCCAATCAATTGAATTTACCACAAGTGGACTCCAATCAAGTTGTAGAAACATCAAGGATGATCAATGGAAACAGGATGCACCTGAGCTCAATTTCGAGTCTCAAAGCAAAGGGTCTGAATACTTCTTCAAATAAGGTTCTGTTTTTTATTTTTAATACATTTGCTCAAATTTCATAAAACCTGTTTTCGCTTTGTCATTATGGGGTATTGAGTGTAGATTGATGAGGAAACATTTTTATTTAATCCATTTTAGAATAAGGCTGTAATGTAACTAAATGTGGAAAAAGGGAAGGGGTCTAAATACTTTCCGAATGCACTCCATCTACCTCAAATACCTCTGCACATTGATCTGGTACTGGTACTCCCGGTATACAGCTCCATTATTATGTATTTTATTTTATTCCTTGTGTTACTATTTTATTTTAGAAATCTGCATCGTTAGGAAGGGCTCATAAGCACGCATTTCACAGTAAAGTCTACACCAGATGTATTCAGCGCATGTGTAAAATAAAATTGGATATGACCAGTCTAGAATGTAAAAAAATAAAATAATGGCCAGCCGAATGGGAACAGGAACAGAAATTAAACAGTCCTAAATTTAAAGCTGCTCTCTGTGTATCAAATCAAATTTCAAATCTAATGTATTTATAAAGCCATTTTTACATCAGCAGATTTCTCCTAGCAATGTGTTCACGGTTCGTTACAGAAGTGAAACTGAGGCCACATTATAGGAGGAAGTAAGCCTCAAGTATCATATCATTGGCACCAGACAGAGACATCCTGCTGATGACTTTGAACTGCCTGGTTTCAAGTCATATCCCCATCTCTGCTGTTCATAGACTCCCTGCGCTAAGCTTTTCAATATCATTGTTTCCATTTTCAATACTGAATCAATGTAGCCCTGTCTAGACAGTATCACCTGATACCACACTCAACTACTGTCCCCGAATTCCACAACATAAATGGGATTAGGTACAAAGAAGCTTTAGTACAATCAACACAGCACCCTGCTTGTGGGTTATCATTTCCTGAAATCCGACCACCCTGTCTGAAATAAAATAGGCTAACCAGCACAAAGCCAGTTAAGAGATAACGATTACAGTTAATGATAGTTCTTCGTTCATAATGGTTGGAGGCAGTCAAAACTCACCAGTGTAACTAAGCTGATGATGCTGACATTAAAGCTGACATTCTGCAGTGAATCCATCAATGGTTTAGGGTCCATCCATGGTATTGTCAGCAACCAAGCAGAAACATACATTATGGGAGCTGAGAGGAATGTGCTTAGTACCATCCCTGATGTAACCTGTTAGAAAACAATACACAAAGAAAACAATTATGACACTGTCAATGTCTTCCTATGGCATACATTTCGATCCATACAGGAGAGGGTTGATGACTTACGACTTGTAGCTCCATGTTATAGTGAGCAGCATAGATGGCCACACTGGGGGCGGTTGGGAAGACTCCATAGAGGAAGGCATAGTTGGAGAGACTGGAGTGGTTGAGACCAGAGTTGGTGTGGTCGGCGTCCAGTAGCTCTACCATTTCTCGACAGATCAACGGCATCACCAACCTCCAGAAGAAAAAACATGTTATTAAGTTTAATGTTACTAAAGTTTACAAGAGAAATGCTGGATTCATTCACAATGAATCAATCATCAGGTGAGAAGGAAGATACTTTATTGTCAAGGGTTATGAGAATAAAGAATGTTCTGAAGGTCAAAACACTGAAATGTGGGTGGGTGCCAGCATTGAAGAATGTTGGTATTACACAATACAATGGCAGTCATGTGCCTACGGTTGTAACAGACCTATATGGATGTACAGTTACGTATGAGTCAATAACATGTTGTTGTCAGCTCTCCCACAGGCCCAGACCTGCATGGCATTACACTAACACAGAACATGTCATTACCAGCAGGTGTGGTGTGGTCTTAGGTCCTGACACTGTATGATTACAACTAAAGCTTTAAAGAACAGTATGAACATATATGAACTGTAGTCCTATATGAATATGAAATTGTAGCACAGTTCATGTATGCTCAAGTTGGTATTAGGTAAAAAAAAAAAACACACAAAAAAAACATACTATACACGTGTAATAATCTACCCTAACATTCTTAAACTCAAACAATCCCTCCTAAATCCACCCCAAATACTCACAGTTTTGCAGTGATGAGCAGGATTAGGGCTACAACAGTAGACCCGGTGAGCTTTCCCAACTGGCCCACCATGGAGAGGCCCAAGTAGAACAGGGCCGCTCCTCCAAAAGAGTTAGCCAGGCCATCCACAAACTGCTCCATGAAAGCAGGGATCTTCTGATCAAGGATGAAGTGGAAGATAATGCCTATAACAACCATGAAGACGATGGGGTTCTTCAGAACCTGAAAGATGACCACACCCACTATCTGGAGTTTGCTCTGCTGCTGGTCTCTCTGGTCCCTCCACTTCTGGATCTCACAGAAGGCAAAGCCAATGGGGTTGAGAACCATGAGGGACACTGGTGCCACCAGGTAGATGTACTGTAGGTACTCTGAGTGAGTGTTCTTGTACAAGGCCTCAACTGTGAAGAAACAAAAAGGTACAGTTCAGGAAGTTATCTTTTAGGGAGGGGAGGAGAGCAGAGTGAATCAGACTCTTTGTCACAAACCAACCAAACAAGATTTAAAAGTATGAAAGACATTCAAAACATCAATTTCATTTGTTCTGAGGTTCTGCCAGGAGGCTCTCAATTTGGAAGGAGTGAAACTGAAAGGATGGAAAGAATAAGAATACAACACTCACCAATAGGATATCCCAAAGCAAAGTCATTGCTTTGAGTAGCAAAGATAGAGAAGAGACCAGCTTTGCTGAAGCGAGTGTCAGGACTGGCAACCAGTAGTGTAATCAGACACACAATGAAAAACACAGACACTTTGGCGATGAGAATACTCCACAAAAATGACCAAATGACATTGCCAAAGTCCAACAGTACCATGTTCTTAAAGAGCAATGCTGGGAGGGCAAACTTGGACACAAAGTTCCCCAATCCTTTGGCCTGTGTGGATGTGATGATGTTTGCACGTCCAGCAATGTAGCCACACAAGATGATCCCAAAACACTCCAGGAGTGCTGGGAAGAGCTTGTCAATGGACATGGTGGGAGGGGTTTCAGGGGGATCCACGTCCCCATAGGAAATATTGAGGTTGGCAGGGACCTTCATAGTGGCGGTGGTGGCTTAAGTCCTCAGATAGCAGCTCTCATGACTGGCCACGCTGATGGGGTTGCTGGTTTCACTACCAGTCACTGAAAATCGAAAATACATGGAGGTCAGTCAACTGCTACCATTTCAATTTAGAGTCCCTAAAACAGCAGTCATGAAAATGTTACACAATTGTAAAATTTCTGTAAAAATGTCCTCGTCTGTACAAGTAATACAATTTTGTAGTTTTTTCACACGCATGTTCCTGAAAACTGAAGAATCACTAAGCTAGCTAGATAATAACAAAGTCTATATTTATCCACTGATGAAAACCAGAAAATGTGGTACCACTGACTTTTCATGACAACAACATAGTATTTACATAGCAGTTACAGTGGGGGAAAAAAGTATTTAGTCAGCCACCAATTGTGCAAGTTCTCCCACTTAAAAAGATGAGAGAGGCCTGTAATTTTCATCATAGGTACACGTCAACTATGACAGACAAAATGAGCATTTTTTCCCCCAGAAAAAACACATTGTAGGATTTTTTATGAATTTATTTGCAAATTATGGTGGAAAATAAGTATTTGGTCAATAACAAAAGTTTCTCAATATTTTGTTATATACCCTTTGTTGGCAATGATAGAGGTCAAACGTTTAGTGTAAGTCTTCACAAGGTTTTCACACACTGTTGCTGGAGACTGGCTAGGCCACTCCAGGACCTTGAAATGCTTCTTACGAAGCCACTCCTTCGTTGCCCGGGCGGTGTGTTTGGGATTATTGTCATGCTGAAAGACCCAGCCACGTTTCATCTTCAATGCCCTTGCTGATGGAAGGAGGTTTTCACTCAAAATCTCACGATACATGGCCCCATTCATTCTTTCCTTTACACGGATCAGTCGTCCTGGTCCCTTTGCAGAAAAACAGCCCCAAAGCATGATGTTTCCACCCCCATGCTTCACAGTAGGTATGGTGTTCTTTGGATGCAACTCAGCATTCTTTGTCCTCCAAACACAACGAGTTGAGTTTTTACTAAAAAGTTATATTTTGGTTTCATCTGACATTCTCCCAATCCTCTTCTGGATCATCCAAATGCACTCTAGCAAACTTCAGACGGGCCTGGACACGTACTGGCTTAAGCAGGGGGACATGTCTGGCACTGCAGGATTTGAGTCCCTGGCGGCGTAGTGTGTTACTGATGGTAGGCTTTGTTACTTTGGTCCCAGCTCTCTGCAGGTCATTCACTAGGTCCCCCTGTGTGGTTCTGGGATTTTTGCTCACCGTTCTTGTGATCATTTTGACCCCACGGGGTGAGATCTTGCGTGGAGCCCCAGATCGAGGGAGATTATCAGTGGTCTTGTATGTCTTCCATTTCCTAATAATTGCTCCCACAGTTGATTTCTTCAAACCAAGCTGCTTACCTATTGCAGATTCAGTCTTCCCAACCTGGTGCAGGTCTACGATTTTGTTTCTGGTGTCCTTTGACAGCTCTTTGGTCTTGGCCATAGTGGAGTTTGGAGTGTGACTGTTTGAGGTTGTGGACAGGTGTCTTTTATACCGATAACAAGTTCAAACAGGTGCCATTAATACAGGTAACGAGTGGAGGACAGAGGAGCCTCTTAAAGAAAAAGTTACAGGTCTGTGAGAGCCAGAAATCTTGCTTGTTTGTAGGTGACCAAATACTTATTTTCCACCATAATTTGCAAATAAATTCATTAAAATTCCTACAATGTGATTTTCTGGATTTTTTTTCTCAATTTGTCTGTCATAGTTGACGTGTAGCTATGATGAAAATTACAGGCCTCTCTCATCTTTTTAAGTGGGAGAACTTGCACAATTGGTGGCTGACTAAATAAAAAATGTCCCCACTGTACATAGGTAGAAGTTAGATGGGTAACTGGTAAACACACACCAAATGCAACCCACAGACTATCAGTTAGCTAGTAGTTACTTTGTAGCATAATGTAACCTTCTGACAGTGTAAGCTACTTTTAAACTCGGACAAAACAGAGATGCTAGTTCTAGTTCCCAAGAAACAAAGAGATATGCTGTTTGATCTGACAATTCATCTTGATGGTTGTACAGTCGTCTCAAATAAAACTGTAAAGGACCTCGGCGTTACTCTGGAACCTGATCTTTGAAACATTGCAAAGAGCTGAAACTTTATGTCCAAAAATTATGCAGAAAAGTCGATGGGGTTGAGGACAGGGCTCTGTGCAGGCCAGTCAAGTTCTTCCACATTTATCTCGACAAACAATGCGCTTCAGCACTCGGCGGTCCCGTTCTGTGAGCTTGTGTGGCCTACCACTTCACGGCTGAGCCGTTGTTGCTCCTAGACGTTTCTACTTCACAATAACAGCACTTACAGTTGACCGGGCAGCTCTAGCAGGGCAGAAATTTGACCAACTGACTTGTTGGAAAGGTGGCATCCTATGACGTTGCCACGTTGAAAGTCACTGAGCTCTTCAGTACGGGCCATTCTACTGTAAATGTTTGTCTATGGCGATTGCATGGCTGTGTGCTCGATTATATACACCTGTCAGCAACGAGTGTGGCTGAAATAGCCGAATCCACTAATTTGAAAGGTTGTCCACATACTTTGTAATGTACCTACACATACGCAATGGTCACAAGACGCAGGCCTCCTTATTGTCCCTAGAATTTCTAAGCTAACAGCTGAAGGCAGAGCTTTCTCCTATAGAGGTACATTTTTATGGATCAGTCTGCCTATCCATGTGAGAGACGCAGACTGTCTTGACCTTTAAGTCTTTACTGAGTAGGTCCTATGATTGAGTGTAGTCTGGCCCTGGGTTGCGAAGGTGAATGGCAAGGCACTGGAGTGACAAACCACCCTTGCTGTCTCTGCCTGGCCGGCTCACCTCTCTCCACTGGGATTCTCTGCCTCTAACCCTATTACGGGGGCTGAGTCACTTGCTTACTAGTGCTCTCCCATGCCACCCATAGGAGGGGTGCGTCACATTGTACCCCCTCAGCTCGTGCGGTGGAGGAGATCTTCGTGGGCTATACTCAGCCTTGTCTCAGGGTAGTAAGTTGGTGGTCTGTTGATATCCCTCTAGTGGTGTGGGGGCTGTGCTTTGGCAAAGTGGGTGGGGTTATATCCTGCCTGGTTGACCCTGTCCGGGGGTATCGTCGGACAGGGCCAGTGTCCCCCGACCCTCCCCATCTCAGTCTCCAGTATTTATCCTGCAATAGTCTATTTGCCAAGGGGCTAGGGTCAGTCTGTCCTATCTGGTGAAATTATCCTGTCTTATCTGGTGTCCTGTGTGAACTTAAGTATTCTCTCTCTCTCTCTCTCTCTCTCTCCCGCCATAATTACATAACAAAACAAATGGATGACCATGCTTTGTATTGTTTCTAAAAACAAGAAATATATTAGCAATAAATAATGTGGTATATTGCTAAATTTCATTTCATTTTTTGTGACCTGAGTCTTTTAACCAAAATATCAGATGATACAAAATGTTCTGTTCAGCTGCCCCTTTAAGGGCAGAGGGTTACCGTGGTAACGGGGCCACTCAAGTAGTGTAATGTGTCTGTGTGTGAGATTTCGGATCTGATTAGGGCGTCTCTTCACTATCAGCTGAAGCAGCAGACTCAAACTAAGTTGAAAAACATCAGAGCTTGTGAACAAAACAATGTAAATAGTCAAGAAACACGAGGACAAAGTCTCACTTTGTAGACTTTAGACTAAATTAGGCCAACAACTTTTATGCCTGTGCGCAGCTCCTCCAAAAATGAATCTAACAGCACTTCACTCAGTGCGCACAGCTCTCCTGCCAGGCAGTGTTGGTGCGTGATGTGGGATATAGGATTTATATTTATTTGTGTGATTAGCATCTATGAAACAAAACAGAAGACATACTTTGAAAACATCTACTGCAGCATATTTCTACAATAAATCGCAACTCGCACATGTGCTCAACTTGACTTTTGACTATTTTTATTCGCAAATGTAATGCACTGTAGAGCTCTGCAAATTGACCACCCGCCAACGTGGCTGGTGAAATAGACATTCTTACCCGCCAATACCTAAATCTAACCGCATTTGGCGGGTGGCAGTGTTAATTTTATGCTCTGGGATTAGGTCAATTCCATGGTAACAGAATGACGCAGAGACTGATTTTTCACTTTAAAAGTATGCTAATCAAAAACCATTGATTGCAAAGTTAAACAAACCATACAACTCAAGGACTAGGCCTACTTTTAACAATTTCCACATAATTTTTTTTGAAAAACACATTTACTTGAAGAACAGTGCAGATGTAAAGTTAAGTAACATAATTTTTTTTTATTTCACCTTTATTTAACCAGGTAAGCCAGTTGAGAACAGGTTCTCATTTACAACTGCGACCTGGCCAAGATAAAGCAAAGTAGTGCAATAAAAACAACACAGAGTTACATATGGGGTAAAAAACATAAAGTCAGAAATACAACAGAAAATATATATACAGTGTGTGCAAATGTAGCAAGTTATGGAGGTAAGGCAATAAATAGGCTATAGTGCAGAATAATTACAATAGTATTAACACTGGAATGCTAGATGTGCAAGAGATTATGTGCAAATAGAGATACTGGGGTGCAAAAGAGCAAAATAAATAACAATATAGGGATGAGGTAGTTGGGTGGGCTAATTTCAGATGGGCTGTGTACAGGTGCAGTGATCGGTAAGGTGCACTGACAACTGATGCTTAAAGTTATTGAGGGAGATAAGAGTCTCCAGCTTCATAGATTTTTGCAATTCGTTCCAGTCATTGGCAGCAGAGAACTGGAAGGAATGGCGGCCAAAGGAGGTGTTGGCTTTGGGAATGACCAGTGAGATATACCTGCTGGAGCGCAGACTACGGGTGGGTGCTGCTATGGTGACCAATGAGCTAAGATAAGGCGGGGATTTGCCTAGCAGTGATTTATAGATGGCCTGGAGCCAGTGGGTTTGACGAGGAACATGTAGTGAGGAACAGCCAACAAGAGCGTACAGGTCACAGTGGTGGGTAGTGTATGGGGCTTTGGAGACAAAACGGATGGCACTGTGATAGACTACATCCAATTTGCTGAGTAGAGTGTTGGAGGCTATTTTGTAAATTACATCGCCGAAGTCAAGGATCGGTAGGATAGTCAGTTTTACGAGGGCATGTTTGGCAGCATGAGTGAAGGAGGCTTTATTGCGAAATAGGAAGCCGATTCTAGATTTAACTTTGGATTGGAGATTCTTTATGTGAGTCTGGAAGTTGAGTTTACAGTCTAACCAGACACCTAGGTATTTGTAGTTGTCCACATACTCTAGGTCAGACCTGTCGAGAGTGGTGATTCTAGTCGGGTGGGCGGGTGCCAGCAGCGTTCGATTGAAAAGCATGCATTTAGTTTTACTAGTGTTTAAGAGCAGTTGGAGGCTACTGAAGGATTGTTGTATGGCATTGAAGCTCGTTTGGAGGTTTGTTAACACAGTGTCCAATGAAGGGCCAGATGTATACAAAATGGTGTCGTCTGCGTAGAGGTGGATCTGAGAGTCACCAGCAGCAAGAGCGACATCATTGATATACACGGAGAAAAGTGTCGGCCCAAGAATTGAACCCTGTGGCACCCCCATAGAGACTGCCATAGGTCCAGACAACAGGCCCTCCAATTTGACACACTGAACTCTATCTGAGAAGTAGTTGGTGAACCAGGCGAGGCAGTCATTTGAGAAACCAAGGCTATTTAGTCTGCCAATAAGAATGCGGTGGTTGACAGAGTCGAAAGCCTTGGCCAAGTCGATGAAGACGGCTGCACAGTACTGTCTATTAGAATGACGGTAAAATCTCCCTCAGTTTTTTATGTGACCACGTTTTCCAAACACTTGGTTAAATATCTACTCCGAATTAAGATTCAAAGATGTCTGCAGAAATAATGGGGTGTCAGCTACCGTATATGACACCTTGAGTTTGAGCAAATATATTTTGGTTATTGAACTACAGTAAGTGAAGTGGATAAATATCCGGTAACAGAACGATGGTAACAAAATGACATCATGGGTCCCTGATCTGTACTATAGAGAAATGTATAAAGTTGAATGTCATTCGCTTCATGGCGATGTATCCTGAATAGGTACACAAAGGCCGAAAATGTGTATATCCTCCTTTACATGTCTGGGTATTATTCTACACACTAGCCCTGTCAAAATACCCATACTAGCTTACTACATACTTAAACTGCATACGACGTTTGATCTAGTAGAATTCACTTGTCTTTTCCAACTAAAGTTTTTGACAACAGCTGATAATCAGATAAATTGACGTGCTGTACCAAAATTAACGAATGGCAGGGGTCAACGCAATCTCGTATTACATGACACATTTGGAGTACTATTTTAAAAATGTCACATACTATAAAACATTATATATTTTTTTACATACTGTTTAGTACGCTAGTATGAGGATTCGCACACTACCACTTCTAATGAGCTCCGCCCCAAAACAAGACCAAATTTGGTTGGTCTGGATCAAGCATAGACATCTATGTTTCACAAGTACAACTACGGTACTTTCCAACGTCCATGGACGCCTGGGGTGTCAGTCAGTTCTCAGTGGGTGAGAGGGCTGGTTACAGTAAATGGAACGAGGGGGTAGGTCTCAGTAAAAGCTAGGAGAGGTGACATTAACTGGAGAGAGAGAGAGCAGAAGAGAGAGAGAGAAAGAGGAAGAGAGCAAGGGCTTTGACCACCACACCACAGACAGAGAAAGAAAATAGTTATGATCTGAACATAACTGTATGCGAGTGGAAGGGAGGACAGTACAGTAGCAGGTGACCCAACTGAGGTTTGTGACTACTATGAGTTCCCATTGTAGACAATTTAGTAGCAGTCAATCTGTTCCTGATTTATTGGTCATTCTGTTGTGTTACCTATTTGGTAGAATAATAACGCATTTAAAAAAAGTTTTTTTATAAACTCTTAGCTTTCATTTGACACCAAATGTAATGTGCTCTTATGAACTTCACATGTTAGTGCTCGTGAGTCATGGGGCGTTTTACATGGAAATGCCCATGATGAGCTAAGTTAGCTAACGTTAGCTAGCTATAGACAGCCAATTAACCTTGCTCTAGCCAGATAATATGTGCGCTATTTAGAAATAGGTGACATGCTAGCTTGCCAAAGGCACTGAATGTACCGGGTGCTATTTTGTCTAGTCTACTCCAAGTAGCTAACTGTTAAAAATTAAGACGACAAGACAACTTACCGATACCTCTCTCCATGTCAAGCGCACCGTCTGTGTCTGTCAGTTCTTGTAGCTAACGCTACACTCCTTGTTTTGACTGCAGTGAAAACTACTTCACCAATCAAATGACATTGGGGCGGAAGGGACCAATGGCTAGATTCGATTATGCTGAACCGTGGGGCACCGGTCTATGGCCCGTGACATGAACGGGCAAAAGCGGTGAGGGAGGAGCGCACTTCTCAAATAGAACAGTAATCTGCGCCACTCGGTCATGTTGTACACAAGGCAGCACGGTGGAAAATCCAGAAACATACAACATATCTTTTGCATAAACTAAATGTTTGCATTTTCAAACTAGTCTTCATTGGGAAGGCAGATACAGCGTTTTTATCAAAAGCAATCACTTTCTCATGTATAAACACAGAATCCTACTGTCCACATGCTTAATTACGTCACTTAACGTTTGTTTTTAGCCGACTTCGCAGTGGGCTTTGAACAAGGCACCTGGCTCACGCCCGGGAGGCAGCCCGGTTCCAAAACAAATGCAATCAACTTTCACTCGATGCGAAACATGGCTACCCGCGGGCGCCCGGGCCAGATTAATCGAAACCCCTTATTGTTGGCGAATGTTCTTCTTCTTCTTCTTCTTCTTCTTCGAGGTTTACTGGCGGACTACAACCTATAAAGTGTATTGCTGCCACCTACTGTACGAGGTAGTGAACGATATAAAAAAATCTATTGCAGGAATATTCAGATTTAGATAGACATCGCATCATTGTATCTGTCCCATTATTGCGTCTGTGAGAGCACAGAGAGAGGGAGGAGCTATAGGAGGACGGGCTCATTTTAGTGGCTGGAATGGAATAAACGGAACGGTATCAAACATATCAAACATATGGAAACCACATGTTTGACTCAGTTCCATTTATTCCGTTCCAGCCATTGCAATGAGCCCATCCTCCTATAGCTCCTCCCACCAGCAGCCTCTGATTTTGAAGTAGTCCATTTTCTTCTTCTACTACTTCTTTGAGTTGGCAAACAAATTGAAAGGGTGCACACTGCCACATTGACTGCATTGGATGATCCCTCCTGGTGACCTGGATGGAATTATGTGATAGTAGACACATATAGAAAATAGTCAACCAGTGTCAAGTAGGCCTATCAATTTTATTTAAATACTGTATTAAAGATTAATGAAAATATATAACAAAACAAATTGAGTAAAGACAACAAATATTTTGATTACAAAAACTTGATTAGAATGGATAATGTAGATCAACTGTTCTAAAATACACATGAGTGAAAATATGGATAAACATGCATGCACCCAGCGATCTGAAGTAATTGCAAACCACCCAATAATAATTAATGTATGAGGGTCAAAAACACAGCCCTCATACAGCAATCTTTGACTTTAAGGTCATAGGGCCAAGAATCACTAGGGCCCAGAGTGTTACCTGGTCAGTTCATAAGGTGAATAAAAACGTCTGGCCCTACTCAGGACACCCCGCAGACCTCTAAGGCGTCATGCTGAGCTCAATGAGACGGCCTGCGAACACTCCTAGTGTGCCAATGATACACACTGCCATGAACACACACAGCAGAATGTGATCCAGCACCATGGCCACAAACTTCCACTCTTCAGCAGCCTGGGAAAAGAGGAGAGCAGTTAGAAACACTCAAACCGAGATCTTTAAGGAAAGAACTGTGGGAAGGATGGAAATTAATTCCATAGTCTTACGCTGTTGGACTCCTCATCAGATTTCATGGTCTCAGCAATGTACTTAACCCCCTCAATAGCACTGCGTACATCTGGGTTCTTGGTCATGGGGGACTGGTAGGTGACTGCAGTAGGGGTGGGCTTTCCTGAGATGTCTGAGATGTCAAAGTCAGCACCATAGATGCTTTTATCCTGTTTCTCCTTTGCAGGACGCTTCATTGTTGAGAAGAACATGAGGTTGGGAATGGTGTCAATAAAAATCTGGGAAGCAAAAAATATGAAAGGAATTAACTCCGTAATTAATAATATGCAACAACTTTGTGTAAAAACAGACAATGATAAATAGACTGGTAAAATGCATACAATGAGATAAAAGGCTAATTAATAAACATATTCATTCAGATATTGTCTAGCTCCTGAATCACAAAAGTAGGTTTAAAAAGCGGTAATATAGTAAACAAGTTCAATCATCTATATTCTGTCACTAGATGGCAGTACTGGGCAAGACATGAACAGGGCAAAAACAATGTTGAGACTACTATTATGTAGACTTGATACCACACACAGGAGGTTAGTGGCACCTTCATTTGGGAGAACGGGTTCGTGGTAACGGCTGGAGCGGAATCAGTGGAATGGTGTCAAATACATCAAACACAAGGTTTCCAGGTGTTTGATGCCATTCCATTTTTTTCATTCCGGCCATTATTATGAGCTGTTCTCCCCTCAGCAGCCTCCACTGACACCACACTATCTGTCATGTTATTTTATGAAGAATTTGTAAATACATATACAAAAATACATACATTTCTAAACTGTCAAACACATAACATTCACAAACCAGAGTGCACAAGTCATCCTTTGCCATGTCATTTAAAATCCAAATGAACCCAAATACTATTGTAAGTAAAGCACCATGGTATAAAGTTCTTAACTAAGTTCTTAAAAAAAAAAAAATTCATTGGTAGAAATGTGCCAGCTTTGCCCACCTTGCGAACCCAGGGAGACATGGTGTGAGTGCTGGGGGAGCGGTGGTGGGTGTTGATGACGATGACAGTGATGATAATGGAGGCAATGACGAAGACCATTGTGAAGAGCATGTACTTCCCGATGAGAGGCACAGCACTGGAGGTGGAGGGGATGAGCTCAACGATGACCAGCAGGAACACAGTCAGAGACAGCAGGACAGAGATACTCAGAGTCATCTTCTCACCTGAGGAAACACATGTCCACAAAACTCAGGTAAACAAAAGTAGACGCATACTGAAGCATTCATCTATGGAGAAAGGCACAATTGAAGCATGCAATAATGCAAATTATCTGCCATTGTCACATAATGTCATACATTTCATAATCAGTCAATCACACAGCACGCAGACAGATTTGAGCAGTTCAGTGGAGAAACGAGGCTCATGACAAAGACTGAACATATGCTCATAGGGAGGCCACTGAGATTCATAACAATGGATTCAATGTTAAACACTGTGAGAGCAGTTAATAACTGGGTACGAATGGGCTAAAACAAATATTACAGGTACAGCAATGCTCCAGTGCAACTCAACTGTGACACCCTTTACAATTTAATTAAACAAATCAATGAATATCTCATCAAAGTGAGCTGGTTTGATAGTAATTTGGTCTCAATACATGGTGACCTAATCCCCACTCTAGTTGGTCCCCAATCTCTCAGATTAATTACAAGAGGGTTTGACATGATTATTGTGATAATTGATCAGAGAGAGAGAGACTGATAGTGAGAGAGAGACACACAGTGCCATAATTCACAGTGATGAATCGACACTGACTCACAGAGACACAGGAGGGTCATAATGTTAGAGGGTAGCAGTGACATTGTTCCTCTAGCAGTCAGCATCATCACACCCTTTAGGGCACCAACTCATTGTGACCACAGGGAGGAGTAGCCTGTCGTCCAATTGACCTCCTCCGACCTCTCTTTCAGCCCTCCACTAAATGGAGGGCTAGCGGAGGGCTGAAAGATCCTGCTGCCTAGTCACCTTACCCCTATACAGTGGGGGAAAAAAGTATTTAGTCAGCCACCAATTGTGCAAGTTTTCCCACTTAAAAAGATGAGAGAGGCCTGTCATTTTCATCATAGGTACACGTCAACTATGACAGACAAATTGAGATTTTTTTTCTCCAGAAAATCACATTGTAGGATTTTTAATGAATTTATTTGCTAATTATGGTGGAAAATAAGTATTTGGTCACCTACAAACAAGCAAGATTTCTGGCTCTCACAGACCTGTAACTTCTTCTTTAAGAGGCTCCTCTGTCCTCCACTCGTTACCTGTATTAATGGCACCTGTTTGAACTTGTTATCAGTATAAAAGACACCTGTCCACAACCTCAAACAGTCACACTCCAAACTCCACTATGGCCAAGACCAAAGAGCTGTCAAAGGACACCAGAAACAAAATTGTAGACCTGCACCAGGCTGGGAAGACTGAATCTGCAATAGGTAAGCAGCTTGGTTTGAAGAAATCAACTGTGGGAGCAATTATTAGGAAATGGAAGACATACAAGACCACTGATAATCTCCCTCAATCTGGGGCTCCACGCAAGATCTCACCCTGTGGGGTCAAAATGATCACAAGAACGGTGAGCAAAAATCCCAGAACCACACGGGGGGACCTAGTAAATGACCTGCAGAGAGCTGGGACCAAAGTAACAAAGCCTACCATCAGTAACACACTACGCCGCCAGGGACTCAAATCCTGCAGTGCCAGACGTGTCCCCCTGCTTAAGCCAGTACATGTCCAGGCCCATCTGAAGTTTGCTAGAGTGCATTTGGATGATCCAGAAGAGGATTGGGAGAATGTCATATGGTCAGATGAAACCAAAATATAACTTTTTGGTAAAAACTCAACTCGTCGTGTTTGGAGGAAAAAGAATGCTGAGTTGCATCCAAAGAACACCATACCTACTGTGAAGCATGGGGGTGGAAACATCATGCTTTGGGGCTGTTTTTCTGCAAAGGGACCAGGACGACTGATCCGTGTAAAGGAAAGAATGAATGGGGCCATGTATATATATATATATATATATATATATATATTATATATAAATTATATATATATTTTTAAATTCTACCATATGTTATTTTTAGTACAACATTGATATTGATTACTGCATTGTTGAGTTTAAAGCTTGCAAGAAAGGCATTTCACTGTATTTGTGACATTAAGACTTGAAACTTGGACAGGGATTCTGCTTATAAAAATAACTCAAAGCTGAGTCTCTATAAATTGCTACCTGAACAATATTGCCCTACAATAGCTAGATAGAGTAAAGGAATTAGTGATTTAATTTGTCCCATCCCATGTTGCCTTCCATACGTATAGACCTATACACAAACAACCTCATGTAAGCAAACAGACGTACAGGCAAACAGACAATAGAATTTCAAGTATGTGTTATTTTCAGTTGAACACATTCACACCCAGACCTCGTTCACACAGACTCTAGAATGTGAACTATGTGTTGTTTGTGAACTTTGTGTTGCTGTTCAGTCAAATCAGTGAACCTAGAATACTTCCATTTGGCATCACAGCCCATCCACAGCATCATACTGTAACAGCAGCCATATCAGAGCTAGGCAGCCAGTGATGCATTATACATTAAAGGAAAGGCCTGTTCGCAGACATGGCAGCACACAGGGTCTCTGGGTAATGAGGTAGGCCTCCACACTGGGAACAGGGCCAAATGCTAGCTGAGACACAGCACTGGTACAGCTAATGTAGCTACTAAGAACTTCTGAGGCCCAGAGACAGATACAGGTGTAGGATCATAATTTTACCAGTATTGTCGTAGAAAAATAATCCTGCAGCAACAGGTTTTTAACGTTTAGTTCATATTGTTGTTTGATTGGTGGTTAGGCTTTTAGCTGGACAGAAGAAGGCTACATGAAAAGTGCAGTACTGTTAATATAACCGTATGTAAGTGCAGGTTTTCAGTGAATTTATGTAAATCACGAAGCTCATCCTAATTTCCTATGTCGCAGGAAAATTCTCAGCAACAAAAGAGTGATCAAATTAAGATCCTACATCTGTAGGAGGACAAGCGTGTAGTTGAAGCTACCAGCCGATGCAGGTACAGTACTTCACAACCACTTCATAAGCCATTAACCTTGCAGCTATGATGCAGAAACTGGGAGACAAAATATATTTCAGTTAATCTTCAGCCAATAAAAGGGATTTAGAACTGAAATGATTGAAGGGATGCTATACTAACCAGAGTCAGTGGGCAGATAGAACACTAGGCCAGTGAGGAAGGAGAAGAGCATGCAGGGGATGATGACGTTGACGATGAAGTAGAGAGGTAGCCGCAGCATCAGGAAGTGGTAGGTGATGTCCAGGTAGGGCGTGTCAGGGCAGCAGGCATAGTACACCCAGTGTTTCCAGCTGCGGTAATCCTTCATCACCCACTCTCCACTCTCCATGAAGTTACTCAGGTCAGGACGGTCGCTGTCCTGGTGGAGACAGGTAATAAAGATGTCATGAAGACTCAACAGACCAGGAAGGGCTCAACCTAATTGGTAGGTTTTAGGACTGGTGGTATTTTGTAATGCTTTTAGAATCATGTGTTAAATCAGTAATGGACTGTATGTGTTTGGGTAACACAGGAGTTACACAGGGGATCAATAGAGAAAAATGTCAAAATGGTGATGATTATTACGGGATTGACGACAACCAAGTTGCCATCATAGGTCCAGGTACCCAGCTTCATGCTGCAGTTCTGCAGGTCAAAGGGGAAGTGCAGCACGATGATCTCACAGTAACTCTTGAATATGGCAGGGGGGTTCCACGTGATCATGCCAGTGTGCTCCAGCAGCACTTTGGTCTCGTGAACGATGGCAAAGTCACCGTCAGCACTGCAGGCATACACAAACACAGGCATCAAACACAGGAAATAATGTTAACACAGAGGGACATCACTGCCTGGGGCTTGGCATGGCCCTGCCATCACAGGCCAACCAACCAGAGCTGAGACTGGTACAGGTTGCTGTGGCATAGGAGCTGGTTGTCAGGGAGAAACAGCAGTGTGTCAGACGCAGCATATGGTGTGGGTGGAACCTGTGATATAGAAGCCAGATTTAGCCTGATGCAATCTGAGCTCTCACCCACTCTGCACAGAGGGAAAAGAGAGGGAAACGTCATATAGTTTGAAAACATAATCACACCCAGAGTCAAGGAAAGTATCAGTGAGAGAATGGTAAAAAGAAAGACATTTGATGCAAATATGGCCTGATTCTTACTTGTTATAGAGAACGAGGTCAGGACGCCAAATGTCAGTGGAGGGCACTCTTATCTTTTTGATTCCACCATAATCCTCAGGATTCCATTGCAAGTTCACATCCTTCCATTGCTGGAAAATGACAGCACAAAGTACAAAGAGCATGAATAGAAAATATCAGATAGATTATTTGAAGTTCCTGACTTGAAGTCTGATTCAGAGAGGAATAATTTCAATAGGGAATTTTTCAGAGAACGTTTTATTACAGTTTATCGAAAATAAATATAATTCAACGGTTTATAGGGATTTTACACTATTTTCAGAAATTATGGTTAAATTCATTGTAATTATTACCCATACTTACATTTTCCTTGTAATTACTCTCTTACAAAATAGCCAGAAAGAAAATATTTAGATCTCATATTTACTGTATATTGCAATGTTGATACAGGAAACGGCAGAAACAAACCTGTTTCAGTCTAACATTGCTGTTGACAATCTGGTTGACCTCATCCTGTAGAGAAAAGGAATTGATTTTAGTTTCTACTGTTATGAAACCAATAATTAGCCTATGGATATTGTTGCACTCGCTCAGTCTAGGGGTCTTAGGCCTAGTTAACTGGTCTGTAACCTTATTTAAGATGTGAATCAATGTGAGAAATCAGCATATGCAATGTATGTACTCCATCTTGACATCTTGGTCAGCCAGTCAAAGAGGATTACCATTTGTTCAGATCGTGACAAAATAAATATGTACAAAAAGGAAAAATATAAAAGGAATGCCCAAACGAAAAACTTCAAAACAAACGAAAAGACTCATGGCCACAAAACAGAATCAGCAGCGTCACAACTCTGCCATCTGGGAACTGTATCTTGGTAGAGTGTGCCTAACTGTGTGCTAGCACTAAACTACCTACTACATAACACCTCCCCCATCAAGAAAAGTAAAGAAAAAACCTCACATAGTCACCAGTATCTATTTTCCTGAATTTTCCTCAACTTTTCCCCCCTATTTCTTTTCCATAAAACTTCCTTAACTGAAGAGACCAAACTATGTACACTATAAACACCAGAGCTGCAAAACAATAAGACTTGGCTTCAGAAAACCTCACCTCTGAGATAAAGCCATTCTAGAAAACCAGACAAACCAAAACCATCAAATTCACTGGTCTGCATTCAGCTAATTTCTTCCTGCCAAAAGTCTCTGACTTGAGCAAACCAAGGGACAACATGTAACCCCTATGGTTCTAAACGGAGAGATCAATTCCATTCCCTAGGCCCATGGTCACAAGCACCAAGCTCCATCTGATATGAGACGTAGAGCACCCACCACCAGGGACAAGTGAACGTTGACCACAACTTCAGCAAACTCACTAGGAACACCATCCCCATTCCCCAACACCTCTTTGCTCCCGCACTGGAGGGGAACTGGAGGGGAACTGTTAGCCTCCTCACTTTCCTCCACCTTAACCGGAGACACACTAGGCCTACATGCTGCAGGAACATTCAACCGCTCCTTAACAACAGGAAGGGACAAAACCGGTGGATCTGGCTTTTCCACCAATCTCACTTTGTCACAGATTCAGCCGAGGCTGCTCCTCCTCCTTGCTCGGGCAGGCTTCGGCGTTCGTCGTCCCCGGAGTACTAGCTGCTACCGATCGATGTTTCGATGTTTGTCTTGTTTGGTCTTTATTGTTTACACCTGTTTCCCATTATGTTACATTGTATTCCCTTTAAAAAACCCTGTCTCTCATTGTTTGTTGTGTGTGATTGTTTTCCGTGAGGTCGGCAGTTGTTGTTGTATGAGAAAAGTGTTCCTCCCTGTTTGGAGGTTTTGTTTTGTATGTTATTTTACTGTGCAAGTAAAGTACGTCTGCCAGTAGCTCGGTGACCTGCACTTGAATTCGTTCACCGCATACACGTCACCTTGACAGAATCACACACCACACATGGAGTCAGCAGGAGCGGCGGTGCCAGCTGGATCAATGGAAGAACGCGTCGAACAACAAGCGGCCATGATCCAGGCTCTCGGCACCTCCATGGAACGGGTGGTGAGCACTATGGAGCGATGGGAAAGAGGGGGTCTGCCTACACCTCCTCCGACGATACCACCACCATCGGCGATGCCCATCGCTTCACCTCCGGGGTCCAGTGGGATTCGGCTCTCGCTCCCGAGGGCTTATGATGGCACAGCTGCCGGGTGTAAGGGTTTCCTGCTCCAGGTTGAACTCTACCTGGCAACCATCCACCCGGTCCCCACGGGATACGAGAGCGTGTCCGCCCTCATCTCCTGTCTGTCCGGCAAGGCGCTGGAGTGGGCCAACGCCGAGTGGGGGGGAATAGACGCCGCTACTGTCAACTATGCGGAGTTCACCCGCCGCTTCAGGGCAGTATTCGATCATCCACCAGAGGGTAAAGCGGCGGGTGAGCGTCTATTCCACCTCAGACAGGGGAGGAGGAGCGCACAGGAGTTCGCACTGGACTTCTGGACGCTGGCTGCCAACGCGGGATGGAATGAGAGGGCCCTCGTCGACCACTACAGATGTAGCCTGAGGGAGGATGTGCATCGGGAATTGGCCTGCAGGGACACCAACCTCAGCTTCGACCAACTGGTGGACATGTCAATTTGCCTGGATACCCTGTTGGCTACCCGTGGACGTCCTGATTCAGGGCCGTCCATTCCATCCCCCAGCACTTCCTAGCCGACCCCTATGGAGCTCGGAGGTGCTGGTGCTAGGGAGACCAGGAGAGAGACCAGGAGAGAAGCCGTCCCCTGCACCAACTGTGGCCGCAGAGGACACACTGCTGGTCGGTGCTGTGGAGGGTCTCCTAGGAATCGAGGCAGTAGGCAGCACACTGATGAGTCATTCCAGGTGAGTAGGCACCCAACTCACCCAGAGCTCTCTGTTGCGCATATGTGTATTAAAGTTGTGTTTCCCGAGGTTTCTCCTCACTCCCAGCATAAGGCGCAAGTAGATTCAGGCGCAGCTGAAAATTGTATCGATCGCCAGTTCACCTATAACTTAGGGATTCCTATTGTACCAGTTGATGTGCCCTTCCCCATCCATGCCCTAGATAGCCGCCCTTTGGGGTCAGGATTGATTAAGGAAGTCACAGCGCCTCTCAGGATGAAAACGCAGGAGGGCCATGAGGAGATAATTTGTTTGTATTTGATTGATTCTCCTGCGTTTCCCGTGGTGTTGGGGCTTCCCTGGTTAACATCTCATGACCCCAACATTTCATGGCAACAGAGGGCTCTCAAGGGATGGTCTGATCAGTGTTTCGGGCGGTGTGTAGGTGTTTCCGTAGGGGCAACGACGGTGGAAAGCCCGAACCAAGTTCCCACCATGCACATTCCACCTGAGTATGCCGATTTGGCACTCGTCTTCTGTAAAAAGAAGGCGACTCAATTACCACCTCATCGACAGGGGGATTGTGCGATAGACCTCCAGGTAGGCGCTGCACTTCCTCGTAGTCATGTGTATCCTCTGTCTCAGGAGGAGACGGCGGCTATGGAGACATATGTCACCGAATCTCTGAGACAGGGATACATATGGCCGTCCACTTCCCCTGCGTCATCGAGTTTCTTTTTTGTGAAGAAGAAGGATGGGGGTTTACACCCGTGTATTGATTACCGTGGTCTCAATCAGATCACAATCAAATACAGCTATCCTCTCCCTCTGATTGCTAGTATGACGGAGTCATTACACGGGGCGCGATTCTTCTCAAAATTGAATCTCAGGAGCGCGTACAACCTGGTGCGCATTAGGGAGGGAGATGAGTGGAAGACAGCATTCAGTACCACCTCGGGTCACTATGAGTACCTCGTTATGCCATACGGTTTAATGAATGCTCCTTCAGTCTTCCAATCGTTTGTGGACGAGATTTTCTGGGACTTGCATGGACAGGGTGTAGTGGTGTATATTGATGACATTCTAATATACTCCGCTACACGAGCCGAGCATGTGTCCCTGGTGCGTCGGGTGCTTGGTAGACTGTTGGAGCATGACCTGTATGCGAAGGCGGAGAAATGTCTGTTCTTCCAGGAGTCCATCTCCTTCCTGGGACATCGGTTGTCCGCGTCAGGGGTGGAGATGGAGATTGACCGCGTTTCAGCCGTGCGTAATTAGCAGACTCCCACCACGGTGAAGGAAGTGCAGCGGTTCTTGGGTTTTGTCAATTACTACCAGAGGTTTATCCGGGGCTTTGGACAGGTAGCAGCTCCCATTACCTCCCTGCTAAAGGGGGGTCCCGTGCATCTGCAGTGGTCGGCTGAGGCGGACAGGGCTTTTAGACATCTGAAGGACCTGTTTACCTCGGCTCCAGTGCTGGCACATCCGGATCCCTCTTTGGCGTTCCAAGTTGAAGTGGATGCGTCCGAGGCTGGGATCGGTGCTGTACTGTCTCAGCGCTCGGGTACGCCACCAAAACTCCGCCCCTGTGCTTTCTATTCTAAGAAGCTCAGTCCGGCAGAGCGCAATTATGACGTGGGGGACAGGGAGCTGTTAGCTGTGGTTCAAGCCCTGAAGGTGTGGAGGCATTGGCTTGAGGGGGCTAAACACCCTTTTCTCATTTTGACTGACCATCGTAACCTGGAGTACATCCGGGCAGCGAGGAGGCTGAACCCTCGCCAGGCAAGGTGGGCTATGTTTTTTACCCGATTTGTATTTAAGCTCACCTATAGACCAGGGTCACAGAACGCTAAGGCAGACTCCCTGTCCCGACTATATGACACAGAGGAGAGGTCCATTGAGCCCACTCCCATACTCCCGGAGTCTTGTCTGGTGGCACCGGTGTGTGGGAGGTTGATGCGGACATTGAGCGGGCGTTACGCACCGATCCTACTCCCCCACAGTGTCCAGAGGGTCGGAAGTACGTGCCGCTCGAGGTTTGTGATCGATTGATATATTGGGCTCACATGTCACCCTCCTCTGATCATCCTGGTATTGGTCGGACAGTGCACTGCCTTAGTGGGAAGTACTGGTGGCCCACTTTAGCTAAGGACGTGAGGGTTTATGTTTCCTCCTGCTCGGTGTGCGCCCAGTGTAAGGCGCCTAGACACCTGCCCAGAGGGAAGTTACAACCCCTACCCGTTCCACAACGGCCGTGGTCTCACCTATCGGTGGATTTTGTCACGGACCTTACCCCCTCCCAGGGGAACACGACGATCTTGGTCGTTGTGGATCGGTTTTCGAAGGCCTGCCGTCTCATTCCTATGCCAGGTCTCCCTACAGCCCTACAAACTGCTGACGCTCTGTTTACACACGTCTTCCGGCACTACGGGGTACCTGAGGATATAGTGTCTGATCGGGGTCCCCAGTTCACCTCTAGAGTCTGGAGGGCGTTTATGGAATGTCTGGGGGTCTCGATTAGCCTTACCTCAGGTTTTCACCCCGAAAGTAATGGGCAGGTGGAGAGAGTGAACCAGGAGGTGGGTAGGTTTCTGAGGTCCTATTGCCAGGACCGGCAGGGGGAGTGGTCGGGATATATCCCCTGGGCAGAGATAGCCCAAAACTCACTCCGCCACTCCTCCATTAACCTTACGCCTTTTCAGTGTGTGCTAGGGTATCAGCCGGTCCTGGCACCTTGGCATCAGAGCCAGATTGAAGCCCCTGCGGTGGACGAGTGGTTTCAGCGCTCGGAAGAAACCTGGAACGCTGCGCATGTCCAACTGCAACGGGCTATCAGGCGGCAAAAGGTGAGCGCCGACCGCCACCGCAGTGAGGCTCCGGTGTTTGCACCGGGAGATCGGGTCTGGCTCTCGACCCGAAACCTGCCCCTTCGCCTGCCCTGCCGGAAGCTGGGTCGGCGGTTTGTGGGGCCATTTAAAGTCCTGAGGAGATTGAACGAGGTATGTTATAGGTTACAACTGCCCATTAATTACCGCATTAACCCCTCGTTCCATGTGTCTCTCCTCAGGCCGGTAGTAGCTGGTCCACTCCAGGAGAGTGAGGTACGAGAGGCTCCTCCGCCCCCACTGGACATCGAGGGGGCTCTGGCATACTCAGTCCGGTCCATCTTGGATTCGAGGCATCGGATGGGAGGCCTGCAGTATCTCGTGGAGTGGGAGGGGTACGGTCCGGAGGAACGGTGCTGGGTCCCTAGGAGGGACATCCTAGATCCCTCCATGTTGAGGGATTTCCACCGGAGTCATCCGACTCGCCCTGCTCCGCGTCCTCCTGGCCGTCCCCGAGGCCGGGGTCGGCGCACGGCTGGAGCCGCGCGTCAAGGGGGGGGGTACTGTCACAGATTCAGCCGAGGCTGCTCCTCCTCCTTGCCCGGGCAGGCTTCGGCGTTCGTCGTCCCCGGAGTACTAGCTGCTACCGATCGATGTTTCGGTGTTTGTCTTGTTTGGTCTTTATTGTTTACATCTGTTTCCCATTATGTTACATTGTATTCCCTTTAAAAAAACCTGTCTCTCATTGTTTGTTGTGTGTGATTGTTTTCCGTGAGGTCGGCAGTTGTTGTTGTATGAGAATAGTGTTCCTCCCTGTTTGGAGGTTTTGTTTTGTATGTTCTTTTACTGTGCAAGTAAAGTACGTCTGCCAGTAGCTCGGTGTCCTGCGCTTGACTTCGTTCACCGCATACACGTCACCTTGACACACTTCTTCAAGCTCCTGATTCTCATCACAATACACAATACAAAAAAAGTGTCAGCTACATCGACCCCTGACAAACAACCTCATGGTCAGCCTGTGGTGGCACCACAACCTCTACTGGGAACCAAAGAGTCACTGACAACCTCTGAATCCAACAGATCACTTGGGGGAACCAAATCATTACTCAGACCACAAAGAGAACCTAGTTGTTCATTGTTACTCAACTCAACGTAGAACATCGTCCTAAATTGACACCTGAATTAACCTCATCCTCAAACTGCAGAGGGCACACTACATCACATATCTCTGTCCAGAAGGTCTCAGCTAGAGACACAAGAATCTCCTTCCTCACTAGGGAGAACCATTTCCTGGGAGCCACTGTCTAGTTTGGCAAATAATGTTTCCTCTAAGTCCCCACACACATCATCCTCCATGTCTGGTTTGCCATCAGTACTCTTCTGAACCCGATTAACTTCACAAACTGGGGATACCTCAAAACTCTCCTTGAAAGACTCCACCCCCTGAGACACCTGACTTTTAATTTGGCTTACCCAAACCTGATCACTTGGGAAAACTAGCTTATCACTCTGATCACTGGAGAAACCTGGTTTAGAATGTCTGACTGTCTGACAACACAAACTTCCTCACCTGTATGCAGCCCTTCACTCATCTGCTGTTTCAAAACTGCCATTTCCTGTTCTAGTCTCGCTATTTCCAACAAATATTCTTCCTCCTGGCTGCTATCCACCAGAACTCACTCCACTGTTCCCATAACAGCACTGCAACATCTAACTTGTTCAACTCCTCTGCTATTTCAACCTCCAACATTTTTGCCACCTGACCTAATAGATCCCTCGTTGGCATGAGAAAGCCCCAACTATCCTCTACCTCAGCACAAAACAATACTGGCTCAAACGCCCCAATAGTCAAAATCAGTAGGCCAAACAGAACCAACTAATTGACTGACAGAAGTCACAGTTAGTCACTAGCTCACCGCTAACCAACCAATACATGCACCTACTACATAACACTGCATAGTGTTGACAGTGATGTGAATGCATGATTGCATGATTAATATTGGTTTTTCTTACCACACTGATGAGTTGAATGAGCTGCAGACCAACTGTAACCACCACTGGGTCCCTGAAGTGAGCGACAGGACGCACCACCTTGTTGTAGCCAGTGAACAGGGTTTTCACCAGACGGGTTTCATCATCAGAGCTCCAGGCAGAGCCTACAAGAAACACAGAGACAGCTTGATGTGTTGCTCACATGGCAGAGATTGAGAGATGTTGTGTTTACAGCACCAGCAGACTGCTAAGTAGTGGTTAATGTATGTGCAAATACAGTAGTATTAAATGTATTAAGTTTCTTCCCATCTTCCTCCCCTCAGATTTCCCTCCCTCCCTCCCATCCTTATTTCCCTTCCTTCCTTCCTTCCTTCCTTCCTTCCTTCCTTCCTTCCTTCCTTCCTTCCTTCCTTCCTTCCTTCCTTCCTTCCTTCCTTCCTTCCTTCCTTCCTTCCTTCCTTCCTTCCTTCCTTCCTTCCTAACTACTTATTTCATACACTGTTATATACCAGTGGTATACTATCATTGTGGAATGCTGGAGGTGATAGAGATGAGAGATCCATCAATACAGATAGTGTTTCAGACTCGACATCCGCTATTTCCGTTACATATTTGACCCATGCCAGAGCGTATCCCATTTCATTTTCCGCTTGACCTTGAAACGAAGCCTAGTGTGTGCAAGAACATACTACGAAAGCATGAATGACGTTTTGAGACATTGAAAACAGTAAAATTGTCTGAAATATAATATATTATATGAAACAATTGACTCAATCATTCAAGCACAAATAGATGGAGGTTAAAAAACTAAGTGCACATGCCCCTGTCAATCAAGAGAGCCTAATGCTGGATGCCTTTTTAAAAATTCCAACATTTCCAACAGGCACTAGCTTAGCTAGGATATACCTCATATAAGATTTGAAATCTTATAGTTAACTAATGGATAAAGCATTACCAAGAATCCATGCGAAATGATCTAATTATGTAGATATCCCTTGATTAATGGGCTAGATCTGTAAGATATGCAAATATTGGTTTAGGATAGACTATCACCTAAAATATCCTGGCAAAGGTATGTTATAACCGACAGAAGAACAGAAATGGCAAACTCATTTTATCAGTCAGCCAACATGCATGTTCAGAATATGGCTTACCTGCTAGAATGATAAGGAGATGAGAAACAAAAAGTAGACGATTCATTCTTATGTTCGTTTCCCATAAACTCTGGGGTATCCAATGTCCTGAGTCTTCGAGGGTAAGCGGCTAGTTAATTAACAACATTATTTCTGTCTACTTTAAAATGAGGTCAGAATAATTGCAACACTGACTTGCTGCTTCAAGTACTGTATTACGGAACAGTATTGTTGTTTCCTGACAGCATATGTTATGAGCCACCACCAATAGCTGTCATTTGAGAGGGCCACATTCTTTGTCGTCCCTCACATGTTATAAGCACTACATGCCTGGCTAATCTAGCACTAAAATATCTCACAGTGCAATACACTTCCCATATTGAAAGACAGTAATAGCATATGGCTGCTTTACAAAATGAGCGCATTTGTTGTGATATATTTACAATTAGGCTACTCATGAACAGAGAAAGGGACATTTGATACTGTTCCCATTGGTAAACTTGTGTTCCATTATGATGTCATTTACATAATCATTATTTGGGAATCCTATGTGAGCAGTTGATTACATGTCAAATACAGTAATCAAACTGCCACCAATGTTGTCCTCTTTGATGATCTCACCCCTAATGGAGATGATATGTCTCCCTCTTAGGATAATGTTGGACTGCAAAATATCCACAACATCTACCCCATCTAGCCACTGCAATGAGTTTCCAGATGGCCAGGTATAAAACACCCCATCACTGTACACCTGCCCCTCCCCACCAAGGCATTGATGGGACCAGGCAACTCAATTTCCTTACAGCCTCGACCCGTTCAATCAGCCAGTCACTCAACCAGCCGCCTCATTCATCTTATTTAGGGGCAAATTGCAATTTTGGCAATGTCTGAATTAAGAGAGATCTGTCTCTTAGCCCCTCCACTTCTCTCCCCATACCAATCATAGACCACCTGAATCCTACAGCGCGTAAGTAACTCCTGCCTGGACCCAACCCATGTGACCCTGGAGAAACCCATTGAATCTGCTCATTCAAGCTCATCAAGGTCAGGCAGTGGGACTGTGTCATCCTGCCGTTGCGGTTGAGACACAGTTCTTTCTTTCAGCAGGAGTCAGCCCTTCTATAGCCCTGCGGGAATCTCTCTCAATCAGACCTATTTTACTCCCTATTCTACATGTGATTAAAATGCTCTCTTAACCTGAATCTGAATAGTAATAATGTGGTGTCTGTGGAACATCTGCTGGGGATGGCAGAGCATTGAGCATCTCCTGCTGCATGTTTGTGCGCCCTGCCAGATTATGTGGATTACACTTTCCATGGTAGAGATGATTATGTCTGTTACTTGGATATTTTTACATAATATTTCACCTAAAAAACAGCAGTCTAGTGTTACGTGTATTGTTTATGTTCTGAAGATAACATTATATTTATAATCACTGTATTCTATTATTTAACATGAATTTCAATTAAAGCTCTTCTAAGAGCTCTTTGATGTTGTAAAGGTATTTTACAGTAGATCAATTGTTTCATGTACATTTTGATTTATTGGTATGATGGGTGGGGGAAGGGATGGAATGGCTGTTTAGTATGGGATATTGGTGTATGGTGATGCAATTTTATTCACTGTAGGCCTATGCAGTTTAAACATTGTCCCCAAATTCCTACAATATGATGGTTACATAGGCTTTAGCAGAAAAATAGCACATTTCCACATTCAGAAATCAACATGTTACTACTTTAGCTGTCAACAATCTGAAAAGAAACAGTAATATCTACACGACAGGTGTTGCATCTACATGCAGCATTTTCACTTCACATGTCTGAGCTGAATATTTCAGTATATATTTTGCAATTGGAAATGTAGGTCAGCCTCTGCAGGAGGAAATGTCACACAACTTCATCCAATCAACAAAGAAAGGTCAGTTATCTCATGGATCAGAAGCACTAAAACCTTTAGATTCATTAATGTGAATACAAATCAGCCATCCCATGGTAATTGTAGCAAATATTATTTGATGTGCATGAAGAGAGGTCTGTCATGACATTATCACAGCAGTCATCTGAACATTTAGATGAGTTTCTTGGTCTACTGGCTGCAGCTAATGTAGAAGGATTTATAATAAATAGCTAAAAAAGCTGTATGAATTACAATAAATCACATTTTTATTGACCAATCAACCCAAACTAAATATGAATTCATTCACCATTAATTCAACCTAATGTAAATGATAAAGCCCAGTGATAAAGATGTAAAGAATTCCTGAACAGGTATAAACCATACTAGAGCATGAAGCCACAAAAGGCCGACTACGAAATGGGAAAGCATGAGGTGTTAAACACAGAAAAGCTTGGGCAGCCAGGTCAGATTTTATGGCTTTTAATAATCCAACCTAAAAGCGTAGTGTTTCCACAGTTACTACTGAGAACAATGGCAGAGCATTTAATGGGATTTCACATTAAATTAGGAGAGGCCAGCTGCTGTCATTCGTGATGGCTGTGGTTCTCCACCAGTAAACACTGCCCAGTAGGATCTCCAGTGGAAAGTGTCTGGAACTCAATCAGGACAAACACATGAACCAAAATAACAACAGTTTTTGTTCACTGGCAGTTTAAATGCAAGGGTACACTTTGATATTATAATGAGCCGCTAGTGAAGAAGATAAGGCATGACAGGTTTTTGGAAATTGTGTGTAAAGAAATTGCTTGTGGGGTAATTAAACATAAAATGCATAAACCCCAAGGGACAATGTTTGCATATGTATCCAGCAATTAAAAATCTCCTGAATGCAGACAGGGCCGTGCCTAAAGGTATTGTGGGTTTTGTGTTAATCTCAGAGCGAATCAGTGTGATTGACGCAGAGTTGGAGGGGATGCTGCACACGGTCACGTTGGCCCTGGGTTGTCTATAGCACTGCCTGTCACTCTTAATATGCAGACTGAGAGGAACTGCCCCTTTTGTCAAGGTCATTTTGCAAGTGCACGCAAATGTAGCATGCCATGTACCTCAATGATAGGTGTCTGGGCACATTTACCATATTCTAAAATTAACATGCACGGCACTAAATGCTTATTCAATAGCTTCATTGTTACTGGAACAAGATGACTCAGAGCAAACCACTTCATTTTCAGCAAGCAAGGTTTAATAAATTATAATTTACATGCGCAAATTAAGTACAAAAATATTACAATAAAAAAAATATGAAATGCACAAATGTAACAGTTTGAATGCAACACAGTTTTGACTGTCAGGCAAATGTAACAGAACATTTAAAAGTACACTGATCGTTTTCTGATTGAAAGAGGCTTTGAATTTCCCCTAAAGAAGACTTCTAAAACAGCTGAAAAGGCAAAAAAGACAGGATCAGTCAAAGATAATTACAAAGGTTCAGAAAAGATACAGTAGTCTATTTCACATCCAGGTATACAATGTTTCACAAAAATAATTGCCCAATGGGCAACCGGGCAGGAGAGACTGTAAATCTACAGGACAAATAGCAGAGTAACTATAGCTGGGTTTCCATCCAATTGGTGACAGATTTACATGCGAATATGCTAAAATACGCAAAAAACAATATGCACATTTTCCCACCAGAGATGTTTTTCCATCAAATGTACTTATTGTGGATAAAAGGCTGTGCGTGATGACGTAGTGCACATAAAAATACCTGCATGCTTTCCCAACAAGTCATAGTGGGAGGACCACACAACTTGTCATCGCATGACTCCAAGTTTACTTCGATATGATGGTTATTATATCAATATTTGCACATAAAAGCGTTTCCACCGACATTTCTCACATAATTAATTTTACCGACACAAAATGATCCCACCTTGTCTAGCGTATTTTGTTTTGTTGACATTTGGCAAGTTTACCGACAAATGTTCTGTTTCCATCAGGCCTGTCAGTAAATGTTTTATCCGACATGTACTTTACGCGCATTAAAAGGTTGAATGGAAACCTGGTTAATGTTTCACAATCTTCATCACATGCTAGGTTACCGCTACAAAGTTAAACAAAATAAAGACACAGACAAAATCTGGTCCATCAGTGTTCTACACAAGCCCCGACAAAAATGGGGAGACAGACATGCAAGTTTAAGGTACATCATCATCCACACCCATTACAGGGGAAGAAAAAGTAAGGTTCAGCACTGCTCAACTGGGAGTGGAAACGGATGTATCTCAAATGTAATTACAAAGATTCCTTCATATGTAATACAAATGCAATACAAAGGTTCCTTCAAGTCTTTGCACAAAAAGGTGTTTAGACAGCATCAAGCTGTTTTACAAAAAATCTGGCTCTTTCCTTCCGTATCTTAGCAGAATGGATGTGTCTGTTTTCATAAGAGGATGTCTTCATTTTTGATGAGGAACTCCACCACCTGCCGTTGGTAGCGGATGTCGTTGAGTGCCGTCATGGCGTCCAGGTTGGGGGCACGCAGGAGAGTGGGCCCGAAAATAATGCCCAGGTTCTCCGCATTCATCAGGTTGTCCTTTTCATTCAACGTTACCCTGAAGAAGAGACACATCAAGGACAGACAATTAACAGCTGAATGTTGAAAACCCAATGAAAATGAAAATCTGATCATTCAATTACAACCATGTCTCAGACACACAAACATGATCTTACGTATCACCAGGGTAGCGAATCGCTTTGTTGAGAAGCTCACCTCTTTAAATGGGCCATGAGGTACCTCAGGGTTTCACTGTGTGCTACAGGCAACAGTTCCAGAGCCTCACGGAAGGCCTCTAGCCGCTTCTCTGGGTCTTCCAGCTCTGAGAAGCAAACAGAAGAGCGGCCACAAGACATGCTCTCAGAACCTCCGATATAAACATCTGTGCTCAATGGTTCTCACTGAAACTATTCACTAGCATGAAGAGATCGGAGTACAGTCAAGATGTGCTGTTGTTGAACTCTATATAACTGACTACCAAACAATAGTCATTTTCTAAAACGGAACCATAAGAACTTCAATCGTAAAGGAGGATCTGATGCTTGTTTTATGTGGACTGCATGAAAGCACATTCTCCACTGAATGCCCAGGATTGTAAATAGCAACACATAAACAGTGGAAATGCGGTAAAGCACAGCAATGAAAACAATTTTTTCTTTTATTTTTGCAGAATCATCTTTGAGAACTCAAAGAGCAAAAGGAAGAGCTGGATAAATGTTCACTGAACACTTCCATCACTTCCTTTCATGTTGAGGGATTTACATAATTAAACTACAGATATGAAAACGCACACCAATGGCATTTCTTCTTGCATGGTACATTCTCCATGGTGCTGGTGCGTGTCTGAAACAATTATGCATAGTTTTAACTGGCAGAGAAGAGGAAAAAGCTGCTTATGTTTGACTCACTTGCAGCCTCAATGAACCTGGGGTAGGCGTCGTATGAGATGACAGGAATGGGTAAATCCCTGAGGTACAGTTTAAGTGCACCCGTGATGACATTGATATCTTCATAGGCATTGGCAGAGATGTCCGTCTTCTCACCATCTGTGAAGAGATAAAACACATTGTTAGACACGAGGAAAGAAATAGTTGGATGTGCATAAGACACTGTTACATTTTTCTCGCTGATTGAACTCAAGGACATTGAGCGTAGTGTGAAGTGAGGAATAAAGGGATCGTGTCACTGTGGGGGATGAAATCTAGGCTGCTTCTCTGGACTGGCCTGGCCTGTTTTACTCAGACTTTTCCTCAGTTCTACATCCAGAGCAGCCCATGGCCTAATTCTGCTGAGGATCTACATATCACAGTGTTGTGAGTTGGAATGACACTCTGTCATGGGTGATCTCCCACACACTGGTCTAGCTAAGGTTTAGCCCATAGCTCCAGGGTTCCCCCTGGTCCATCTCTAAACTCACACTGCACTGGGCAGAGAATGAGGCAGACTATTTCTAACTACATCTTTAACTGTAGTAGCCAAATGAAGTTGGAGGTTTAATTATACGTTAAATTACATTTCGGTCAGCTACGGTTGTTGGACTAGTCTCATGATTTGCCATCCCCAGAGCTGGCCCATGGCCCTGGCTATATATCCTGTAAGTGGACCATGTCAGGACAAGCCGTGCTCTCCCAGATGGAGATTAATCCCTCCTCAAATGTGTCACCTTCCCATTAATTCCAAATACTGTCTCTATAAACACATCACATGGTCAACATTTAGCTCAAAGATGACCTAAAACCATCACATTGAGTACACATGGAGGCGCTCAGTACTGTGAGAGGCACCCAAGGGGTTTGTTAACACCCGAACAGAATTATAGGATGTCAAAAGAAGACATACCTCTGTCAAATGTCGACTTGACATCTTCGACTGAATCGCTGAATCCAGATATTCTGTAGAGCCCTTCAGTCTTCAGCCCTATGACAGAGGGATAGAGAGGTTTAATAACAAATGCCGCATTTACATAACATAACATAGGACTGAAGTGGGCATCCAACACAGATTCAACTCAAGAGCAGAATAAATACAGCCAAATTCACCTTCAGCGGTGACCTTGGGCAACAGAAAACGTAATTAAGCTCTTCCATATGCATGAGAAATGTAAAATATCTACAATAGCACACAGGGAATAACATGGACAGATGCAAATAGTTTTCTGCATTATTGGATAAAATAATAAAGACATAAATCAAATATAGCATTAGTTACTGATGTAGATTACCGGGCTAGACAATAAGGTAGAAATGATGCTTCTACATCGTTGAGTGATTCAACTGGAATGCAATCAACTGAAGCAGCAGCAACACAGTAATCTATTCTCCATTACATGTCTACAATTACCTCCCATCAGCTCTCCACATCATATTAATGGAAAGGACCAACATTAAAATCATCCATCCTTACATTTCTGTTACCTGCACTAGATTGGGTTTTCCCTGAAAGGGAAAGAGGGAGTGCGATTTCTAAGAAGGGTGTGATTTTCAACTATTTCAATATGGCCATGGCTATCTATCTTCTGCTCACCTCTTGATTCTATTTCCTGTATGCACATGTCCACCACCATGGGTCGCTTGGTGTTGTGAGCTTTCACCAGGGTTGTTAGCTCACAGCTGTACACTTTCTTGACATGTTTCAAGTCCGGCACGCAGTTGCAGGGTACCATAGTGGAGCACTGCTTGTGCACGTTCAGGCCACAATCTGAAAGAAAACAGGAAGAGTAGAGTCAGAGTGGAGAACCTAAGAGGCATATCTTCCAATGATATCGTCCAATGACATCTTCCAGAGAAATAATAGACCAGAATTAACATTGAAGTGTAGCAAAATGAATAGCCTGCATCACCCAGATTGTTAATTTCATTTTTGTCGACTGGCTTGGTTTGTTTTTGCTTGCTAAGGCCTAAATGCTCTTGATCAATATTTGCAGTCAGAATGTCATTGGACCACTGGAGAATTCTCTCTTAGCTGATGACTTCACTCTTTGGTCAGCTGCCAGGGGTGTTATTGAAGTCACCTTGAACACTGGAGTGGAACACAGGTCCACAAACAATCCCTCATCCAGATGGCCATTCATGCATCAAAACAATTAATAACAAATTAAACAAAGGTTGGTCTTATAGCTACCAAATGTATATCTACCTAATTTATTCTGGATTTTACTATGTGGCTTGGTTTGTTTTTCATCAGCACAATAAAAATAATAATAACACAAATCGCAATGACCCAAACCTTTAAGACGTATTTTGTCACAGAGATTCGTATCACAACATGAACCTTATTTGTGTTCTTCTAAGCAGTGAATATGTAGTTTCAATGATCATCCCTAGTGATTTTGTCTTCAGTGCTAGTGAGTGGGGCCTGAGGCGCATCTGCCTGCCTCAGATTCAGAGCAGGTTTCACCTTGCAGGGAGCACAGTACAGCAGAGAGCCAACACAGCGACTCCTGCTCTGCTTTGTAACAGAGGCTTTTAGAGGGAATTAGAGGCGCACTGAAAACAATGTGGCCTGGAGGAGGGAGAGTCAGGCCTGCACGCTCCATTCTCCTCCAGAATCTGGGCTCGCACACAATGGCCGTGAAGGCAGCGATTCAGCCGCTGCGGGCTACACTAGACCTAGTTTCCCAGACTTAAATGGGCCAGCTCCTTCAAGCTTTAAGCAGTTCTCTGCCTTCTCCCAGTTTGGAAGAGGAACTTTGACAAAAATGTGTGCATTATAGTATTCCAACTACATCTCGATATAAGCATTTTGTTCACTGAGGTTTTTTTCTATGAATATTTGGTGTTTCAGAGGAAATATGTCATAATAGTTGCTCCTCAAATATCAAATCATAAAAAAATCACAAAAAGGCACAAAAAGAGTATGATGTAGAGATATAGCTACACATATTTTGATTAGTATTGGCCCCAGAGAAATTCCAGAAGGCTTTATTCATATGCATTGATGCAGGAATGTAATTACCTTCAAGAGATGATTCTCTTAAGGGTATGAGACAGGCAGTGTAATAGAGGGCAGCCTCTCACCAGACACAGGGCTGTTAAACTGGTGTTGTGCATGTGAGCACACACACACACACACACACACACACACACACACACACACACACACACACACACACACACACACACACACACACACACACACACACAGATGGCCCCTGGGTTCCAGGTGGGGTGGGAAAGCCCAGAGGGAGCCTGCAGACAGACACTGCTTTACTGCACTGTCAGCTCTATCGCCATGGCGAGGAGAAGACACTCCACTGAGGATGGGCTCTGCCCTGATTTGGCTAAAAGGGTCTGACACTGGAGGTGGGGTGAGGGGCTGGTCCCGCTGGTGGCCAATCAACACATTATCATGTTGTCTAACCTTTCCTGTGCCTGAGATCCCCAATGCTTCTCTATTTTACCATCTCTAATGGCAGCATTATATAGACAAACATATTGTTCTGTTGCTAGCTATTCTATGTTGTTTTCCACCATGCATAGAATGGGCTGTGTGACCTAGCTCTCTGGTTGTGGCTGCTGAATTTTAATGCGGTTGGAAATGGAGCTCCTTCCCAGCGCTCGGAGCCCCACTCCTCATTAAATAGACATGCCAGCTTTGTTTTTCTTCACGGGCATGATGGTATGAGGCTGGGGGGGCGTCCTCTGATGAGGAAATGTGGCACAACAAGCACTGGCAGGGGCTGACTTCCTGGCGCTCGCCCAAAATACTTCACACATACAGAAAGAAAAGGGAGCACATTTTTGGAATGCAAATTCAAACATCGCATGAGACTTCACTGTCCTAGATTCTGGTCGCCATGGCTTTAGTCTGAAGGAATGGCCAAAAAAAATAAGGAAAATAAAAGCCACTTTTCATCCGATTGTCAGCTGCTTTCTAAAGCAACGCATAAATTATTCATAGGTCGGCTTCCACAGACATAAGTGTAGCTCACTTTGTCCCATCAATAATACATTAAACACAGACATCAGTCTATGTTACTGCCTTATTCAGGAATGATGAACACCTGAAAACTACTGCTTTATAGAAAACCATGATAAAACATCTATATTTTGGTGTGCCCAAATAACAACACCAGAAATTGCAGTGCACAGCTTTTGCTTTTAAGCCAATTAGTTAATCATTTCTAGAGATCAATAATATCGCAAAGCATGCAAGCACTGCAGCAATATGATCCCATGAAAGCCTTTTACATGCTAAATTCATGGTTGCCACAATTATTCTTTATTGTTGTTACCCTAGCATTATGAAAGCCTAATATCCGGTGATAAAAATGATATAAAATCACTAAAATACCTTAAATCAATTGAAAAATAACCACTTAGATGATAACAAAATAATTTCATGACTATACTGTACATTCACTGTAAATGGCTGCTACACAACATCAGATCGTTATTGTTCACAGGGCAGCAAAATCACTCAGCTGCCCTGATTGGATAGATAGGCCTAGGAGTACGCGTGTTTAAAAATGGGAATCTATTCAGAGACCATCAAGTGAGAATTTCAGCATGAATCCACAGAGGCATTCTCAACCCCCCACTTCCACTTCCACTGCAACTGGAGCACAGAGAGAGGACGCCAGTCTGAGTCTGGACGCCATTGTGCATTATGATAATGGACTGATCAATATATAGATTGCATATAGACTACATATAAGTCTGCCGTCGAGTGGAGAACAATTGCTTTGACCATAATGTGGGAATATGGGAGCTACATCAGTATAAAACATTAGCATTAAAGCTGGTCATTTGAACAGTGGTATAGTAACGCCATTAGCAAACTCATCAACTGTGCTGAAAGCACACTCATCAACTGAACCACTCATTCATTAGTACAGTAACACATAATTTGCTGTTAAAGCAAGGCATTCACATTAGTGAGAAGTACGTACTACAGTAAATCCTCCATATTGAGTCCCCATTTTACTCCATTACACAACTCCTCTAATCTGTTCCCAAATATTGGTGGGATTTTAGATTAAGGGACGCAATATGACACACACTTACACTCACATTAAAAACCAGGTTCCCCACATACTGGGGTGAGAAAAACATCAAAGTCCATTACATAACTAAAGAACAGCATGGTGTTCAGTAAAACCAGCTGCAGCTGTACAGTGGCTGTCTACTGTAAAGTATAGTACAGTACGTACCTGCACATTTGACTCCCTGAGCCGTCAGCCCCCACATGAAGTTGGCACAATATTCACACCAGTGAGGTCCCCGGAACGTGTGGACCTGGAGGATAGAAAGAGACAAAGAGAGAGGATGGTAGTCAGATGCTGCAGTCATGTACCACATGGGTACCACACCTTCCCCAGGTTGCCCTGGAGACACCACAATGCTGGCGTCTTAAACTAGACAGATTGTGTGTGTGTTGGAGATGAGGGGTGTTTAGAGCCCAGTCAAATCTGACAAGATGCCTAATCGAATAGTGTTGGTGGTGCAGAGCAGGGAGGATGGGTGGACACTGTTGATGCCGTGCCAGTGTAAGGGGGCATGTTGTCATGGAAATGTGCTACGGCAACGGGTTGCTCAAGCAGGGAAGGGAGCTCCCTCTCCGCCAGGTAACATAACAACAGCTCAGCCAATCAGGGGTGCCTGATCCAGACCTATGGGGAGGATGCAGAGCGGGATCCCTCTGAGGTGTTTTCCTACACGACGATGGGAATAATGGCCCTTTTAAGTGAGGTGAGAAATACTAGGACCATCACCAATACACTGTGTTAACTCATTATGGGATCAGGGATGGCATGAGAGGATTAGCAGTAAAACAGTCCATTACGGTATACAATGGAGAAGATGGTATCAAGGCTGATGAACTGTGAGTTCATCCGACTATACTATTGGCAGGATGGACTGGTTAGAATATATATTTGTGATTCACAGGAAAATAAAACCTTATTCTATTGAGTATTTAAAGAGCGACTGCCTTTAAAAAGCAACAAATCCCTTTGAAAATGGCCTATGTGGCATTTCATTTGTTCGTTTTTTTTGCCGAGGATGTTTTAGTTGTGCAATTTTACATCTAACTAAGGTGTTTGGTCCAGTATTTCTCAAGTAAAAAAAATATGTAAACAAAGTTGGGCTGCTGGGCAGGTCTGTCTCACTGTCTATGTTATTGGATAGAGAGCAATCACTGCAGCTGTTCACACCATGTTAGTGGGCAAATGGACATCGTCAAATCAAAACCCAACCTTCATTTGTCCGTTGTTACCCGATGTTCCAAACTCTGTTTTAGACGAGACTGACTTTATGACCAAAATCATCCTATTTACACTTTGTAGTCAATTTTGACACTAGAATAACTGTTTCTGACTCATATCGATGTCACATAGGCCATTTTCAAATAGATTCTTTGCTTTTTAAAGGCAGTCGCTCTTTACGTAGGAACAATGAAAATTGAATTAATTCATACAATTTAGCACTGGTTGTTGTGTCTGGCTATTTGGTGAATCTTTTCTCAAATTAATTTTTTTCCGTCATATTTTGTAATCATAACTTAAAAGAGATATCTTGGTTAGTGTGTACAAGGTTCAGGATAATTATTCATTAAAATGCTCTGTCAATAACTATTACACACTAACCATATCAGCCCAGATTGCTTCCTCTGAGGAGGGAGCTTGAAACATTTGTGCTAAATGCGTGACAGACCCTTAAAATAGTGAAACGGAGCATTCAGTATGGACTGCCTGGCATAGTAATACATACATAAATAAGGAGGGAAGCCGGAAGAATGAGTCCTGTGAGTGTCAGCAGTTCTAGAGTCTTTGAGGGAATGTTTCTGCCCCAGCTCCCCACTTCATTAACTTACCCAAACAAGCAGAGCAGAGCAGACCAGAGCAAGTCTGATGACTGGAGCCTAATGGGAATAACACTCCTCCACTGTTCCACCCCCCTTCATCGCCTAATCTTCCCATCTGGTGCTCAAACCAACAACAGTGGACCACAGACCGCCCAACAGATTTCCTTTTGAAAAAAGCTCAGTGGACAGACCCAAAACAGTCCTGTTCTCTCACGCTTTCTCTCGCCCCATAACCCCCTGAACAGGCATTCTGGTGGCCAACTGCCAGTATAGGAACCTAATACAAAAAAAACGCCACCTGTCCACAACATGCTGAAAAATAAGCTATATTTTATAGTGGAATGGCATGACGAAGAGATGCAAATACTCTTCCTGTGGCAATTTGTGTCTCACCTTGAAGTTGTGGACTTTCACGTACTTGGGCGGCAGGCTGTTATCCTTCAGTGTGGCTTTGCGGACCAGCGAGGTAAGCTGTGAATAGGCAAACAGTTTGAGAGGCTGCCAGATAGTGGCTGGAGGTTTCTGGGGTCCTGAGATCCTCATCCCCAGAGCAGCAGCCAGTATGTCCTGCTGGTTGGCCTCCTGCTTGGCCTTGTGCACCAGGGACTTCTCTCCCTTCCGGACCTCGTAAGACTCCCTAGATGGCATTCTGACACTCAGGTTGACCAAATCAGATGAACAAGCAGCAAACCCTATAGAGCAGTCTAAAAAGTTAGAGGTCCTCTGGAGAAAAAATAAAAACGGGATGCTTAAAAACGGGATGCTTAGAACTAGTCTAAACTATGTAATATGAATTGCATTGCTCCAATTTGACAAGCTTAAACTTAGTGAAGAAACACACACAAAAAAAAAATTCTGAAAGATGTGTCCTCCTTTAAATCCTCTCACAGCAGAGAGAATTGGATGAACGATGCTCCAACGATGAGAGTGTCAAGTCCTGTGATGGTTGGAGTTGGATAGAGAAGAGAAGAAGCCTTGGGTGCTTATGTGTTCCCTGGGAATATGCAGATGAGCTGATGTTGTATTAATCCTCTTCTCCCTGTGCAGAGCTGATATAGTCTCTCTGGAACAGAGACAGCACAGTGTGTGCACTGTGGATGGATGCTGCCAGCACTACCAGAGTGAGGGGGAAGAGGATGGGGGAGGACCCAGTCAAAACGGATTAGATGGATCACACTGGCCAATCAGAGCGAGGCAGGAGCCTGCTCACGCTTCATCATTGCCGTTTCCCCGCCCCCACAACCCCCCTCTAAGATCCAATGCAGGAGAGCTTGTGTAGGAAGAGTCTGAGTGAGTGTGGGTTGATAATGAGTAATGAATGAGTAATGCATCATCACTGGGCTACTGCTGCCCACAGCTAATGACACCGGTGGGCCGTTGAAGAAAGTGCTATTTTCAAAATCTGGTTACCAACCATTTACTGTTCCAGGGACCACACTGACCTGTCCCCACTCTACAATAGGATATACAGAACACATAAGTAAACATTTGAACCACATATTATTTTCTCAAAATGAAATTCACAAAATATGAATAATTTTGTTGGATGCACTATGAAAAGGGAGAGATGATGCAAGGACATGTTTTTTCTTTGCAATAGTCTGCCTGTAAGCCTATATTTCAGTCACCACGCAGACAACCCAGAGAGAATTAACCTAGGTGTGCTCATTCCACACAATTACAAGCGCTTTATGGTACATTTGAGCTTTGTTTTGTTTCCTGGCTTCAAATACAGAAACAGATTAAAGTAATATGTAAATTAACAGAAATATGAAATACAATTTGATCTACCTAAATTCACTTGAAGAGCAATCTGGCTTTATTTTTACAATATGGGCAATGGAAAAACACCATAATTTACAGAATCACAGAATTACATTGAACAAATGTACATTTCTCTAATACCTAAATTCACAGAGAGTCAAGTAATTCATTTTACATTTCAAAATTCACAGATGACTTACAGTGGAGAGAACAAGTATTTGATACACTGCCGATTTTGCAGGTTTTCCTACTTACAAAGCATGTAGAAGTCTGTCATTTTTATCATAGGTACACTTCAACTGTGAGAGACAGAATCTAAAACAAAAATCCAGAAAATCACATTGTATGATTTTTAAGTAATTAATTTGCATTTTATTGCATGACATAAGTATTTGATACATCAGCAAAGCAGATCTTAATATTTGGTACAGAAACCTTTGTTTGCAATTACAGAGATCATACGTTTCCTGTAGGTCTTGACCAGGTTTGCACACACTGCAGCAGGGATTTTGGCCCACTCCTCCATACAGACCTTCTCCAGATCCTTCAGGTTTCGGGGCTGTCGCTGAGCAATACGGACTTTCAGCTCCCTCCAAAGATTTTCTATTGGGTTCAGGTCTGGAGACTGGCTAGGCCACTACAGGACCTTGAGATGCTTCTTACGGAGCCACTCCTTAGTTGCCCTGGCTGTGTGTTTCAGGTCGTTGTCATTCTGGAAGAACCAGCCATGACCCATCTTCAATGCTCTTACTGAGGGAAGGAGGTTGTTGGCCAAGATCTCGCAATACATGGCCCCATCCATCCTCCCCTCAATACGGTGCAGTCGTCCTGTCCCCTTTGCAGAAAAGCATCCCCAAAGAATGATGTTTCCATCTCCATGCTTCACAGTATGGGATGGTGTTCTTGAGGTTGTACTCATCCTTCTTCTTCCTCCAAACACGGCGAGTGGAGTTTAGACCAAAAAGCTCTATTTTTGTCTCATCAGACCACATGACCTTCTCCCATTCCTCCTCTGGATCATCCAGATGGTCATTGGCAAACTTCAGATGGGCCTGGACATGCGCTGGCTTGAGCAGGGGGACCTTGCGTGCGCTGCAGGATTTTAATCCATGACGGCGTAGTGTGTTACTAATGGTTTTCTTTGAGACTGTGGTCCCAGCTCTCTTCAGGTCATTGACCAGGTCCTGCCGTGTAGTTCTGGGCTGATCCCTCACCTTCCTCATGATCATTGATGCCCCACATGGTGAGATCTTGCATGGAGCCCCAGACAGAGGGTGATTGACCGTCATCTTGAACTTCTTCCATTTTCTAATAATTGCGCCAACAGTTGTTGCCTTCTCACCAAGCTGCTTGCCTATTGTCCTGTAGCCCATCCCAGCCTTGTGCAGGTCTACAATTTTATCCCTGATGTCCTTACACAGCTCTCTGGTCTTGGCCATTGTGGAGAGGTTGGAGTCTGTTTGATTGAGTGTGTGGACAGGTGTCTTTTATACAGGTAACGAGTTCAAACAGGTGCAGTTAATACAGGTAATGAGTGGAGGACAGGAGGGCTTCTTAAAGAAAAACTAACAGGTCTGTGAGAGCCGGAATTCTTACTGGTTGGTAGGTGATCAAATACTTATGTCATGCAATAAAATGCAAATTAATTACTTAAAAATCATACAATGTGATTTTCTGGATTTTTGTTTTAGATTCTGTCTCTCACAGTTGAAGTGTACCTATGATAAAAATGACAGACTTCTACATGCTTTGTAAGTAGGAAAACCTGCAAAATCGGCAGTGTATCAAATACTTGTTCTCCCCACTGTATATGACATTTTCAAATTAATATCCTAGTTAAAATGAAAGAGAGATAAAGATTAATTGAGCCTCTCATCTCAGTAGGATTCTGTCTGAAACTGTGCTCATTTGCTCTGTTACTGATGCCAGCACGGATGGTATGCTAATTCTGCATCACATATAGAGCACAATTAAAGTGCTGTGTTGGGAATGATCTGAAACCTGCTACAATCCACACAGCGAGTCAAATGTGATTAAACTCCCCCATCCCAGAGGCTGATTTGGGCTCAGCTGTTAGAAAGCCATCTGAACAGAGACTGGGGGTGGAGTAGCCTAGTATGAGTTCACATAGACTCACTCTTCATGCAATCAATAAGGGAAGAGCTTATTGACGGTTACTGTAGCCCCCAACAGAGAGAGATGGGGTAAAATGAGAGCTACTAGAGGCACGCTCCACAAACAAACACTGGCTTTGAAGATCACTGCAGGTATGATGGCATTCAATAACTGCTGTGTCCATAACTGAAAGGGCTTTGGACTGGACATGAAAGACATGAAACAGAGGCGCCCAATGGAGCGCTCCTCTACCACGCTGTAGAACCCTCTCTCTTCAGGAGGGGTAGCTAGCTACCAGTGAGAGGCAGATAAATTGCAGCCAAAGCCTTTCATATGCATCCGTCTACCCTCACAGACCCTGGGTGCTTTAGGAAGCTGTGCAGAGTAATTGCGTTGCCTGCTGTTAAGTGTGGAGCGAGCATCTGATACCCAGGATGTGGCTTTCTTTACTTTGAATGCTCCTCTAATTGACACTGATTGATTGGACTCGTTTGTCAAACATGTCCCAAGTTGGTCCTCTTGAAGAAAGGATGAATGCAAAACCAGTTAACTTAATACCTTTTGCTTCTCCATCTAGACACGTGTCCATCTGGACAAGTCTGGGCATCTGGGTTCATTTGTCTCCGTATGCAGTTTCCATGTCTCTGATGATTTATTAAAATGTGGTCTAAACAAGATTTATTCACAACCATCCAACAACAAGAATTTTGTGTGGTCTCTAGAAATACTGTACATTTCACTCAAATACAAAATACATTTCTGTTGCATTAAAATTCAGTTGGAATTTCTGGTGCACTAATACACATTTTACAGACAAACATGTTTCTAATTTTATCTTTCATAATATTATCTTTAAAAAATGAGGGTAGGCTAAACCATTTGTGAGTTGGGATAGAGGTTAGGTAATGACAGTCGTCTGTGGTAGACAGCGAGGTTGTTATACAATGTAATGTTCTCTTAATGCGCCTCTCTGACCTAGCATCATCACAAATGGGCCATTCAAGTGGACAGGGTTTTTCTCTCTTATTCATTTTACATTTTTCTCTCTTATTCAGGTCGTAAACTCTTACTGGGCACAACTACATAGACTATAAACAGGGAATAAATGTCTTACTTTGGGAACATAAATTAGGGGTTAACACATTGCTAAAAATGGGCATTTAGAGTTATTACACTCTAAATGTGTGTAAGTGTGTTCTTAAAAAGGTATTACTGTATGTAAATGAGGAGGAGGAGTGGTACTGGCAGTAGCAGGATGAATGCACACTAGAAGGCTGATATGAGGCTGAATCTGAGAGGACACTCGTACATTTCTACTCAGCCTTGACAGAATGAAGGCTCATTCAGAGTGTTACATGACTGATTAAGTCATCAGTGATACATGATCAAGTTTTGATCAGAAGAGCAGAAAGTGTGTCATTCTGATAATGGATTCTGAGAGGTCAGTAGATTGATCCCATAATAACTAGGCAGTCCAGAATTGGCCAAATATCCTATTTTCTTTTTTTTTTTTAGAAAGAGGCTCAACATAAAATGCAGGTCCTAACAACCTCAATGGAAGAGTGGATGTCTGAGTCTACAGTTCTCCATACAGGGTTTCAAACCGAGCTGTACCACTCCAAACTGGGGGTTATAAAACACCAATCAAATGAAAATAATAGAGGGGGGATCATTCACTGTTTTGATAATGAATGCCATCATTAGGAACTGTGGCCTAATGGCTAGTGGACTGAGGCACATGGGAATGCAAGCTGTACAAGAGAACAATCCACTGAACAATATAATGGAACCATCCCTACTGTACCTACTCATTATGCATATGCATCCCCCCACATGTTTCCATAGAGGGGAACACTAGAGTTCAGTGTGGATATCATTACAGCTGTGGCTTGGGCAACCTTTCCCCCAAGATGTGGTACTGTGGCTGAAAATCGCTGCATTTTCTGCTTGCCTTGCAAAAACGAGAAACCATTTACACCGTATTTTTCCAAGACAAATAGATTACCTGGCTGTGAATGTGGCTGTTGCCTCGACAGTGATGCATTGTATGTTGCTACCACACTTTGCCATCCACAGTGGATTCCACACAGCAAGGTTACACAAGGACACATCCATGTGGCTTATGGGATGCATAGGTACTGTACTGAGTGTTAATTCACATTAAACTGGTATGTGGGGTTTAGGGATATAATAATAATAATAATATAATATGCCATTTAGCAGACGCTTTTA